ATCTCCAAGCCAAGACTCACATTTCATCTTTTTCAGTGAAATGGTTTGCAAATTACAATTTTGTTAAAGCTGCTTCAAAAATAACGTCTCCTATTTTATGATGTCGGCCCACAACACCGACGGTAGACGTTGGTGGGATGGCAGTTTATGTTGAACCTTCCTCCCAGAATTACATTACGTGTTGTTGCCATGTGACAGATGGCAACAGAAAGGCAGTCTGGCAAAATCACCTCTTACATGGAGGGTCATATGAAGCAAAAGTGTGGCACTAAATTCATCCACAGGGAAAAAATAATATCCATTGACACTGAGAACCTTGCTGAACATTTCTGGGGACCAGACAGTGGATGTGAGCACAGTGAGGCAGTGGGTAGTGCATTTCAGCAGTGGTGGCACTGAGTCACCTCCACTGGTGCAGACTTCTCTTTTTAATCCACACAGGATGCAGGTTCTTGCCCATAGCTGGTCAAAATGCATAATTAAGAATGGTGTCTGCTAAAGCAAAATAGTTTTCTGGAGAATTCGCTCTATCAAATAGTGTTATTGCACTCTTCGTATATGAATTTGCATGGAAAAAATACAGGAGGCATTACTTCTGGAGCATCCAACATACTGTAGGTTTGATAACATTTTGCATCATATTCTACAATAAGTTAACTGCTTCAGCTGCTAGTTTCCCAGTGTAATTTCTTACATTAATTTTAACATATCAAGATCCTTTTATTTCCAGGGAGTATTTAGAGGAAACTTCAGACTGGAAGGGCAGAAGACTGATTTAGAACCAATCAATAAAATAAATGGTAGTGAGTTCTTAGAACTGGATGTTGTGCCCTGGAATTTAAAAGGAATTTAAAAATGAATTGTCAGATCATTAACTGTGGTGTGCAGAATGCCATTTAAATGAACTACAGAATTATGAAGCTGGAAAGCAGCAGGAGTGACATGAATATACAAAGAAAAGCAGAAGGACTGGGGGAATTCAAAGTACAGTAGTCCAGTCTCTGCACAAGGAGGTAATAGAATTACAGTGAAGCCCAAAAACTACTCCAATACAATAAAACAGAGAGACTACATGACAGTTGCTCGACTTCCCCCTCTAAACGTTTTTAAGGAGGCGGTATGAAGGTGAGTAGAAGAGATGCTCTTAACAATACCTGTTCATTTTTGGATGCGAGAAGTAATCTGGTGAAGCCCAGAAGGTAGAATGAAGGCTGTTTTCAAAATAAAAAGCCATAATTAATAGAAGAAAATTCCATAATTATATGGAATAGAAGTCCATAAAAATGTGTGAAATACACTGATATAAATAGTAGGCATGTTTTTAAAACACAAAGTTGCCAGTAACAAATGGAGTTCTTGCATTGTTTTATATGGCTGCAGCTGACCACTATCAGAGAAATATATTTAGCTGGTTGAAGTGCAAGTGCTAGCATTACTATAACAATGTATTTTGAAGTGACAGATTTAGGTTTTCTGTCTCCCCCCTGCCTCAAACTGTGCCATTTATTACATATACATTGATTTTCCCAGATGTCATCTCTGCACGCTCACGCCTGCGTGAGAACTGTGTCTCATCTGAGAAGTGGAACCAGAACTTTGCCCCCATGCTTTTAAGTGAAATGAGTTACTTAAGGAGCACATTTAGGACGTGAGCATATACTCATTCATAACAACTGACAAGAAATGATCTCAAAACATACTTTTATGCTGACTCAGCACTTTTCCATCCTGCTCTGTTTAGAAACCCTGAGTCATCATCTGGACTACCTTGAACTCTGTGGAGATGACACAGAAGCTGAAGAACAGATCACTGAAAGTTTAAACGGGATTCTGCAGGCTCTGACTGAAGATAGCTAAGTATCACTCCTGATCACTTGAACTGTTTACTCAATACGAAAGCATTCATTAGAGCTTTTCATCTTTGTGATACAAGCAATTACCACTGGAACTATAGATCTTCCAGCATGTTTTGTTGTTTTCCTTTCTTTCAGCCTACTCTCTGAACTGTGACCTAATAAAGTCATGAAAATACTTGAAGATGCAAAGAAAATGCAAATTTAGCCTTCAACTTACTACAAAAGAAGCTCTCCTAGAATTGAAACTGATATCCTATAGAATATATGCTTAATAGAAACTGACTACTGTGAAACATTTAGCTCAGATATAAGTACAGAACATACTGACCTCCAAAACACATTTCAAACAGTATATAGTAATTAATGTGAATTTATAAGTGACATATCTGGAAGAAAAATATTAAATTGCTCCAACTGCTTGAATTACTTAATCTCTAAATTACAACGGGGATCTTAGAAAAGAAAATCCATAACCTGTTTAATATAAAGAAGCTGTAACAGACTTAAAATGCAGTGAATTTGTTACTGAACGTTTTTCACTTTATAGCTAGTTGTGCTGCACAGTAATCATTATGTAGATGACCAAGAAATGACTTCTGGAAGTAATTTTCATATGAATAAGCACAAACGTTCATGTTCCTGAATCATTACACAGATGACTTATTCAAATACGTAGTCAAAAAGTACCATAAATTTGAATAAAACAGACTTGATTCTATTTATTTGATCACCTTGCTAATAACACCAGCCTCATTTTTTCTACATCAGGCTTCTAGGGAGAAGAAAGGCTCCAGAAAATCAGAAGTAAAAAACACTGCAGATAAAACAGGCAGGACAGACATTACATTTGAGTTCTCTTAGTTTTTTTAAGAAAAGCCAACAGAGGAAACTTGGTCTGTCCTTTAACTCTTACTGAAGAATCCGTTCATAATCAGCTTACTAAGAACCCAAATATGAAAAACCAGAGGTAGCAACCACCTTTTACACTAGTCTAATCTCATTGTGCCTTCCATTCTGACACACCATAAGCTCACTGATGTTGTTGCACTGAACTACACAAAAAGATGTGACAGACCTGCTCAGCCAAAAGCCTCTTGTTTCAGACATATTATTGCAGAGGCAAACTCAGCACTTGAGAGGAAAGGAATCGGGACAGCCAATGACTTGTTAACTCAGATTTATTTATTATATCCTTGACTGAAGAAGGTAGCTTTACCTGTCAGCATTCACGTGGCAGCAGTCCTTCCTCCTTCCAAGCACAGGACTTGACCAGAGGCCACGCTGGTACAGCACACACAGACACCTCTCAGCTCACAGAGAACAAGTTACAATAATCTGAAGAATAAATACAGCAATAGCGTCTCTAAATACTTGAGAAGCATTTTGGATGATGAGATTTGAATTTTCACAGGTTTTCACAGATTGTCAAGGTCTTTCCTCATTAACTAGACCTCCTAAATGCTTTTATTTGCATCCAGATTAAAAGGTCTTCATTGATATCCACAGGCTGCTCTGTACTAGAGAGGATTTGTTCCTTTAAGCAAGACATGTAAACTATTTGTGTATTAGTACGAGTCCACATTTGTAGTCGTATGTAGACAAATGCTTGCAATATTATCCATCTATTTTTAACGCAGACAGATGTGCTCAGCATTCCAGGCCAAGAAAAGCACAGCATCCAAATTCAGCAAACAAACAGATTAGAAATGTTAAGAAAATCTTCATGTACCAAGTAGTACTTGATTTACTAGCAAAGTAGATAAGATACCATGGCTATAACATCGCTCGACGGTTACAGTTATGCCAACTTTCATACACTAAGTCAGACCTCAACCTCCTTTTCTGTATTTGTGTGAAGTTCTAAGATGACTTAGCTCTGCTATGAAAGCTTATTAACTTTTTACTAAATTTTCAAGGAACGATGCTGCAAAGACATATCCATATTGTAGTACTCCTTTATGTAACCACTTAAGAAGAAAACATGTCTAAAAAACTCATCCAAGCACCCTTTATCTTTTATAAACAGGAAAATCAATAGGTGCATTATTCAACGGTCTCCCAGGGATAGCTGGTTGAAAGCAAATTAATTGACTGATCTACATCTCAAAACTACATCAGTGTGTCTGGGTTGCATAATCGTCACATTGTATGTGATGCAGTCAAAGCAAAACAATGAGATGTACAGAAATGGCTGGCACTGCAGTTTTATACAACTAATTACTGCTTCCTGTAGACCTTCTACAACAATACAAATTCTCCCATATCTAAAGCGATCAAAGTCAGTTTGACCTAGGAAATAAATAAATAAATAGCTGCTTCCAAAGAGAAGCATGTTAGATGGGGTCCTTTGGTAGGTTGCTACCTATGGTATAAGAAAGATTCTAATTCTTATAGCAAGAAAGTTCATCAGCCATTTCATTCATCAGACAGCAAGCTGTCCATCACACACATACTGACAACAGGGGAAAAAACTCAATTTCATTTTTATTGTTTAGGGTCTGGGCTAAGACCTCTACCAGTCAGACAACAATTAAATAAGCAGTTCTTGCTCTCTTTAAGAGAAAAATCTTAATGACTGCATATTTTCCAGAGACGACAAACCTGCAATTATCTGAATACCCTAGTGAATGGTGATTTATTACTTTATGGACAATTAGCCACGCTTTTGATGCAAAAAGTCTACTGTTCTAATTGCTGGTCTAATAAAAGATATTGTGCATACCTACAAAATTAATGGCTAGGCCACGCATCAGGAATAGAATCTTAATCCATGACTTCCCATGTCTTACGCAAGCATCTTTTTATAGTCAGAGAAGATGAAAATGTTTTCCTCTTTGCTTTGCCACCTGTGCTTCAATTCAGCAGGAAGTAGAATAATCAGCTGGATAGACACCTGCTGCAATTTAAGCAGATGAGCTTTCCCATATATTTAGACTGGGACAGACTAAGTACCTTGTTAAACCAAAACCTTGGGTCCAAAGATAACCTCTCATAACTCTAAGAAACCAAGCAAAGCCTAAGTAGTTCCAAATCTATAGCAAGTATTGTAAACACTCTTATCGTTACAGAGCAGAGAACCTTCAGCCTAATCAAAGAGAGCAGGATCTTCCTATCTTTGGCAAAAATCCTGAAAAGCAATCCACGATGCGCAGTAAAAGCAGCCCAGGTGCTTTCAGAGATAGCTAAGAATGGTAGGTTGTATTTTAGTATATACAACATTACTACAAGGCACGTTACAGCGCGTTAGCTGCGCTTTTCCACTGCTTTGTTTAATGCTCACCAGTTATTGGTCTTGCAATTGCAATTGTCCTATTGGCAAAAACTACAGTCCCTCTCCTTTAACAATGCAGATGAAATGAAGAAACCGTGTATTGAAGCAGATTTGGTTCTGACCTTGATACCTTTTCTGGAAAGCACAGACCAAGACATGTTGCTTCATGCTGGGAGGGCTATTGGCCGTATCTGTTACGATAACCGTAAGTATCTGTTTCAGAGAACCCTATTTTTCCTTTTCTGCAAGAAATTATTATGAATGACAAGCTACACTTTTTTGAGACCTGAGCATGCAACATTCTTCAACCTCCTGTTATACAGTTTACACAGCTCACATATTGCCAGGCTGAATGCACCCCAAACAACTCATAAAAATCTAAGTTTCCCCATGTATTTTAACTGCATGGTGATGCATATTTGTCAGACCAGAGACTGAATGCTCCTGATCTTGAATCGAAGAGTAGCAGGGCTTCATATATCATGAATGTACATGAGATACATATTCATGTATCTCAATTAGCTCTGTAGAACTGCCTTGAAGCCAAATCCTGAAGGTTATTGACTTCGCCCAACACAGTGTTTACAAGACCAAGTATTTCTTTAAAAGTGTGTCAGAAAGAAAAAAAAAAAAAACACTACAAAGAACTAACCACATATCTACTTCTTCATTAAACAACATCCTTTGAATACAGAAAACATCTGTGATGTAAGGGTTGTAAGGGTTTCCATACAGTCAGAATACCAGCTAGCCTGCAAGTTGATCTACAAGATTACAAGTTGATACTCTTTTCACTTAATTGCCCCAATTGATTACCTGAGATTTTTTTCTTTCATCTTTATTTCCTAGACTGATCAAAATACTTACTGCTTATTGGAGCTAAAAGGGAGGTTCTCAGCCAGTATGTATTATCAGTTTCTCTCCATCTAATTTCCCTTATCTTTCTAGAGGGGAAAGCTTTATCTAGAAAACCATGGCTATGCCTCCTGTCCTACTGCTATGAAATACAAGCACAAACATATGCATATATATGTATCTAGTACAGACTCTACTACCCACCCTACTGAAAATTAGTCCAGTGATTCCCTAATTAAATTATAAACTGTACAATAGCATTCAGCTCCTTTTCCTGGTGCTGATCATACATGCTGCCAACTGAAGTGAAGTCTAGGTCTCAGCAAGACATTTACATGAAAGCAATGTTATTGCATTGTTAAGCAACAAACACTGATCAGCTTTGTATTTCAGTTCATGCCATTCTCTAAAGTACTGAAAACACTAGTTTTTCCATTCGTAACTAGAACTACAGAACTTGTTAACTGTTTTCTCAATAACTCTGCAAGCAGGAACAACTGTTGTTAGTATATAATAACTAGGAACAAATTAATTTTAAGTCACTGTACTTCACTGACTTCCCTTGAGCTACACTGATCTTCATTTGTCTGAGGACCTTTCTCAGCCTATAAACGTGCAGAAGATGGATAGAACTCAAGCATTTCCTGAATCTCAAGATTCAGAGCAATTAAAACTGGAAAAAAAATACTGAAGAATATTATTGTCCTAGAATACTTTAATGTAACCTTTTTCTTCCCCCAAAATATTTGTTACTAACAAAGAGCAGATATGTCCCTATCCCTCAGGATGAAAGAAGCCAATGGATAACACAGCACAGGTTCCTAATCCCTGAAAGAAATAAGCCAATGGATGTTCCTCACTCAATTTTAGGATAGATACCAAGAGACACATTGCTATCAAGTTCATCAGAACTCATACTAGCTGTTGTACAAAGCAGTATACTCATTAAGCTGCCTTTACCTATTTTTTTTTTTTAACTAATCAGGCCCAAGTAAAACTAGGAAGTCTAGGAGAACTGTCCTGAACCAGCATTTTCATGTACACATATTAGCCTGAACTCATGACATGAAAGCTGCATGAAATCTAACAGTGCAAGAATGAACTGGATTATCTTGCTACAAAGCAACTCAGTTGGATCCTCTTTACTTAATTGGTTTCTATTTAACCACCTTTAACTTCTGTACTTGCTATTATCAGGTGATCTTCAGGAAGAGCTGGTGAAGGTAGGAGTCATCCCATCACTGGTCCGAATATTGACCGATCATGCAGAGAGTGAACCACTTGTCCACGTTGACCTATTGGCCTTATGCAATCTTGCAGACCTTGGTAAGCAAATGCCTTTGCAGCTTGCAGGAAAATGCCAACTTCACACCTCTCCCTTTCTGTGCTGAAAAATCCCACAGATCTGGAAGGGTTATTGTTTTGCTGGGCATTTTGTTTGCTTTTTTTTTTTTTTTAATCCCCTACTGGTATATAACCAGGAATTGGTTACAACATCCATGTTGGTAAAGTACCTACTCTGTCCTGCAGTATCAGCAACTGCTGGATCATCTCAAAATAATTAATATTTTTTTGACCTATAAACAAGTATAGACAGCAGAACTTTACCTACTGTAAATTGACATTATTTCATCTATTCATATATGAAATATGAATTTTTAGAAATTACTTCTGTTTAATAATTAGTGTATAAAAACCTTAATGAAACAGCTTAGCTTTGAATTTACACAATTTTCAAGAAAAAGGCATCTACATCAACTTAATGTGTGGTACCTTATACAAAGTAGTGATGGAGGAAGAAGACCAAACAGAAGTTATCTCACCTTCTATAAGGTCTGACTCTACAGTTCTAACTGTTGCCTTCTATCTACAGCGGGAGATGCAAAGAAGGGGGTTCAGTATTATTATTATTTGTTAACACGTATCTTGCATAAGTTTGGGATCTTAGCAAGATTAAAGCCATTTAACCTCATCAAGGAAGAAAATACACTGCTAAAGCAACCTGGCATGTGGCAAGGGCCAATTCGATAAATGAAATAATCACACTATAGATGGGTTTATAAGGGTAAGCAGAACTATAGTTAGGGTTAATTTCACAGCTATTATAAATCATAGCTACAGAAATTAAACAAAAACAGCATTAAGTAAAGAAGTGATAATAGAGTTTTGCTGTCTCCATGCTGTCTGAAGTGACATAATCTATAAATAAAACCAAAACGCTTTCAAAATCCAATTAACTTCAATCATTTCTGATTACACGAAGACAATTATAACATTTTATCAAACACAGAAAAAATTCTATTGCTGACTTTCTCATATGCTCAGATACAGCTAAGGAAGCTCTAAGCAAGACAAAGATTGCTGAACAGCTGGTGAAACAACTGAGAAGAGCAGAGAACCACGAGAGGTTAGAAATCATCTTTGAGGTCCTTCAAGCGCTTGCAGAAAATGGTAAGGCTTCCATAGGCTTGGTGGAAGGAGGAGAGAAAATGATACTGGTGCCTAGCTTTACATCTGAGTTTGCTATGGGATCCTACTAATGGAAATCAGTAACCCCTTCAGTGGAAATAAACCACAGATTAAAACTTAGAAGTTAAGATAATAAAAAAAATGCAGGTGACAGTAGTCATTTCCACTCTATTTTAGTAAAGCATGAAACGAAGGGGAATATGACTTAGCAACTGAAAAACAGACTAAATTCTTTTCACTGACAAGCTTTAACACAGTTTGATAGTGATAGGACAAGGAGGAACAGTTTTTGACTGAAAGAGAAGAGATGTACATTAGATATAAGGAGATTTTTCCACTCAGAGCGTGGTGAGGCACTGGAACAGAAAAGCTGTGGGTGCCCCATCCCTGGAGGCATTCAAAGCCTGGTTGGATGGGGTGCTGGGCAGCCTGATCTGTTAAGTGGCAACCAGCCCACGGCAAGAGGTTGGAACTGGGTGAGCTTTTAAGAGCCTTCCACCCCCAAACATTCAGTGATTCCATGATGATAAGCATTCAAAGGCATCTAGATACCTGATTTTAAAATTGAAGACTCTTAAGTGGCAATACAGCCTTGCTCATTCAGCCTGTGGTGTCATCCTAGCACCAAGATGTCTGTTAAAAACAAAACATAAAACAACCGACAGAAAAAAAGCCTATCTGGAAAAGAGATCAGCTTAAATTAAAAGATTTAGCATCCTAGTTTGAGATGCTTCAGAAATGACCCAATGACCCAACTTATAGCGTGCTTTTCTGATGCCTGCAGATGCTCTGAAAGTTCAGCTGGTGGAGGCAGGTGTGCAAGAGGTCCTGTCTGACATCCTTCTGAGGCTCCAGGGCAATTCACAAGCTGAAGACACGTGCGTTGTGAAGGCCACATCCGATCTCATCGTCTCTCTGCTTCTTGGAGGTAAAAACAAACCAACAAACAACCCACACAGTCCAGATACAATAAAGAACATCACAAAATCCCATTGGAATAGGAGTTGCCATTTGCTCATTGTCTTCCATTTCCTTAACACGGACACACCTGCAACCTGTTTCATAATCCCAAAGGAATACTCAGACATCACCTTATACTTATCTATAGCAGTTGAATGCTCACGTCCCCATGTTTCTGTTCAAGTGTCACCAATATGCTGCTCCAAGCCATCTAATGCTGCTGTGACTGCCTATGTGCAGAAAATAAATGCACGTAGAATTTCAGGCCATTGCAGCTGTACCCAGGGCTGGTCAGTTCACATACAGCTTCTAACACTTCACTTTCAAAACTGGCCTAACAGATAGCTTGGAATTTAAAGCCAGTTGTCAGATTAAAACGTTTACATGGCCCTGAGCCACTCGTTTCTTTCTCATTCGCTGCTTGAAGCCCACGTATATACTTCAAGTATTTGTATTAACAGATAAACTTAAAAATTTCTTTGTAATATAGTCTGTGAAGCAGAAAAAAACATCATCATTTCAGACCATACACATAGCTGACCTAGATTTTTCTCTATGTCTTCACATTGCTTTGAGACACACTGCAAAAAGACTTAAGATTTCTAATGGCACCTAAGTTTAGGTGTCCCTGTTATATTCTATTTTGGGCAGATGAAAAAATAAACTTCAAGAACTGCACGCTTACACTGCATCCCACTCCCAAATCCCAAAGGTATCATCAGTCAAAGGTTTTAAAGATTGTTGTCATTGTTAATAATTGAAGTTGTCATTGATTCAGATTTTTCCCTGGGCTCCCCCAAAGACAGATGGAGCAATTCACTCTGTGGCTATCTACAAACAGACATAAGATGTACTTGACATTTTCCATTTGTTATGCCTCAGATAAGTACACGCAGAATTTTTTCTGGCTAAGGGATGTGGCATTCTCTCTCAGAATGCTGGATCCTACCTGATATCCAAACATGCACATACAGAATCAGGAGCATTGGTTATTGCCAGTTTTACAAAAATAACGGTACAGTTGATTGTTCTCTACCCATCATACCTGAAAAGCCACTGTTTGTGATAAGAGGGAAAAGCAACACTAATAGATTTCATTTATTGCACGTCTCTTAAACAATAACTTGCTTTTCTGCAGGCTAGAGACTTGCATTCTTTTAAGTACCAAAAACTAGATGTTAAATTATCTAAGGAACAATGGTCAAATATAGGGTGATCAGGGATGCAAGCACTCATACTTTGTTTTACCTAAATCCCATATTTACAGAGGTGAGACTCTGGAACAGTTTCATGGCAAATTCATTTTTTCAAAATACACAGACAAAAAAAAAAAAAAAAAAAAAATCAAGCTCACGTTTTAGATTTTAAGTTCCTTTTGGGGAGGTGGGAGAGGATTACTCAGACACATCAGGGGAAGAAATAGAGCGAACTCAAGCTAAGTCATCTTGATCTTTCATGCTTTTCTATTTTAGAGAGCTTTGAGCCTTAACACGATGCAGACAGATACAGAGAAACTCTTATGAAGAGATTCCTGGGAAGCCTTACTGGGAAGCTGAATCAGTCAGAGGAAAACCCACGTTTTCTGTCCATTCCTCTGCCACTGACAGCTGTACAGGGATCAAACTGGGTTCAAACAAAAAAGAGCTTTTTCAACACTGCTCTACTTTCTCCATTTCTTTAATTACCAGAAAGATCTCTCGGAATGGTCAGCAAGATACTAAGCTTTAGAAAAAAAGCTGTGACTACCATATGTGTTTCTCCCTACCTCTCCCCTACATCCTCCCTGTACTTCCTTGATTCGTGGTCTCTGACAGCTCTTAATCAGTCATTGTATGTCGCTGACTACAAAGCCCTCTGTGCCTTTCAACTTGCTATCTTCCATTTACTCAGCTGAATGGCTTGCTTTGTCACTCCTTCTTCCTCCTCCATCCCTCCCACAACCCCATTAGATATTTCTTAGGAGAAAAGTGAATAATCCTTTTCACATTCCAGTTTGTGCTACTGCTGTATGCATAGCTTTAATCTATGAAAAGAAATCCCACAGAAACCCGATTCAGTATCAACTGACTTATAAGGCAGTAAGAAATGGCACCTTTTGCAGCTATCGAGGTGGTTGTTCTTAGCAACTTCAACCACGAGCCATTGAATTCTGCTACTATCCAAGCAAAAATCTATAAGAGAGGGAACCAATTTGGAGCTCTGGAACAATCAAAGCAAGGCAGTCTCTAGTGGGTTCTGCCTACCTGTATTTTACTAGAAGACGGAAAAGATGCTCTGCCATTCCTGGGTTTGAAAGGTTGGGGGAGGAGAAAAATGAAGTTCAGTGAAGGTTAGTCTTAGTATGAAGGTTAAAGCATTTTCTGCCCGTAAAATTCTGTCAGCCTAAAACAGTCTATTTTCAGTGAACTTATTCCTTAAGAGAACTAAACAACTTTCCTCTTATACTCTATTGTCTAAAGATTAGGGCCAGTCAAGAGAACATGTTTTCCACTTGCGGTTCTTCAATCATCTTTACAGAACGTAGACGTGAAACTGTAATTAAAAAAATTCTGCACGAATGCAATTTGAAGTACTTCTCTGACTAACAGTTTACGCTTGAAAATATCTACTTACACTCAAATATTTTACATTGTTATTGAACCCACAGAAATTCAGGGAGAACAACATGCCACCAACTGAAATGCAACAGCAGAAAAAAAGCTAAAAGAATAGTGCTGTTGGTTCAAAAGAGAACATACAGTAGTTTCTACTGCTTTGGAAATAGCATTCAGACCAGCACAAGTGTTAAAAACTACTACGTACAGCCATTTAAGCAGTAAACACAAAAAAAATTAGAACTGGTATATTTTAAGCATGCAGCTAAGCAACATAAGAATCAACTAAACCTACTTCTGGCCAAATACGTACCAAGACTGCATTAGCTAAATAGGTAATTCATTACCCCACGTGAAGATGTGATCTTCCTGAGTAGCACTGACAATTTTTTGCCATCTTCTAACAGCAAGTATTCATACAGTAAGAACCCAGCAATGAAACAGCGTTGACTGGTGTCAAGAAGATGCTTTGCTTGCAATGTGATTAACTGAACAGAATAATCAATTACAGAAAAATATTTGCCAAACAGCATCTTCAAAACGCTTCGTTCAGGAAAGATGTGGAGGGCAGAAATTTGCTTCAACTCTCTAAGAGAACACAATCACATTTCCTACCAAAGAGAGCTAAAGAACTTCTGACAATGAAAGGGTTGTCATCCGTGCAGAGAAAGTTCTCAAAGAAAAGGAGACAATACAGACATACAGATACTCACAAAGTATTGTGGAGCACATGCTGCCCAAAATCATTGTTCTTTGGAAAGCACAAATCCACTCTTTCTCCAGCTTCGAACACATAAGAACTCTCTAAATCACAAGTTTTTTCTAGTTTCATGAGTGTAACAAAGACTTATTTCAGAAAGTGCGTTTCTCAGAACAGTTAAGAAAAATCTAATGGTATTTCTGAATAAAAGGAGGAGGAGGAGGAGTACAAAACAAGTAATCAGGCTAACAACTGCTGGATAAGATAGCTGTATCACAGTACTCTCTTAAACAAGTAGAATAGCAAAACTGGAGTATTAAAGCTATCCTGCAGAGAAATCTTAAATGCCACTAGAATTCCATCACACATATGCAAGGGAAATTAAAGCAGTACTGGAGGAAGAAATTTATTGGAAAAGATATGGCTTTTAATCTGACAGTGACTGGCTCTAGAAAGTGTTCTCAAGCCATGTTTTACTAGAGGGTGCATCTCAGCATCAGTTCACAGGCAGCTTATGTCCACTTTTCTCTCTAAAAAGAGTTTAAGTTAGTAAAAACTACTGCCAAAAGCTTCCGTCTCAATCTTTTCAAAACGTTACAAGAGCAAAGACTCTCTGAATTCTCAATTCATATTAGTTAAATTCTATCACCGATTCTCATCTCACCTCTCCCACCTGCTTGGTTTTTCCTCTTTCCTTAGATGGCAACTGTGTTCGAATGGTACAGGTGGGAGTCATACATCAACTTCTGGATCTTTTGGAAAAACACGTGGAGAGTGAAGACATCTCTGTTCAACACGCAGCGCTCAGTGCACTTCGAAACCTTGCTATCCCAGGTACAGTTTGAAGACAACCGATTTACTGTGATTGTTTGTAAAGCTGGGTCATTTCATGGAGATCTGTGCAGTTCTGTCCAAGTCACCAGTCTTATGTAATTTGCAAGACAACTGAGTTTTTTCCCCCCCTACAGAAGCATTTCATATAACTCATCTGGACTTTCCAGATGTAAACAAGGAAGCTAAATATAATACAGTCTGATCTTGTCAGCTGCTCAAGTGATTGCATATTAAAAGCATACAGAGGTTAAAGACAAAAAACGCATAACAACACTTAAAACTTCACCCCATGTTATGTACTATAAGCTATCTCACCACACTTGGTAGACATTATTATTCTAAGTTTGTTCTTCTGTAAGGCCCATATCCATTGGAAATGTTGCGTGTGTTTTAAAATTCCACTCACAATATTTAATAAAAGTACCAGAAAATTGTGTTACCTCTCATTTCCAAACTACAGCTTCCACGTGTAAGTACAATTCAGACCAAAAGATTTTACTAGTGACATAGCAGAACAGCACCCCACACCACAGTCCTCACACTGCTGCAGAGCATTTCTCAGAAGAACAAGGCACCAACGTGATCTTCTGAAAATAAAAGCATGGAGTTATCTGCCAATTTTATTATGTAAACTAGCCAGCATGCTTAGTTGAGTAAAAACATTTCTCTATATAGTCGCTGCTTTGGATAAACAAGAGCCCCACAACACGCTACTTGTTAGTTGGCTTCCACTGCTTCCTTTCATATCGAGATACACCTTTGTTTTCTTCCCAGTCAGGAAGATTTCTATGGCACATCTTCCTGATTTCACTGTCGCCTACATCTCCTGCAAGGCACATGTAAGATGGGAGGAAAATTGCTCTGGAGAAAGCAGCTTAGGTAGCACAGTTAAGCAGCATTAGGACTCTTTCCAGGCAAGCTGCTGATTATTACCAAGGATTACTGCACTAACAAGGAGCAAAGGCAAGATTTGAGAGAGGAAAGCAAAGAAACCAAGGCATGAACAACAGAGGATCAGCGAGCTCAAATAAAGGAAACATCACATGCAACAAATAAGGTTGTGCAAGTCATTTCTGCCACTCAGTTCAGTTAAGATAAGCAAGAACAGAAAAAGCCTTGATCAAGCAAGTGGGCGAGTGGATAGAAATCTATTACAAGATATACAAAGAGAATAAAGAATGCTGTGTTCATGCTGGTTGTTTTTTTTTTGGATTCTGGGGAGGGTTGAGATCAAAAGACCCCCAAGTCTTCTACCAGCAATTTCTTGAAAGCTTTTAGCTCAAAACACAGATCTAAATAGTTGGTCTGTCCTGAACTTATCTCCAACTTTTCTACCAAGTTGGAACTTTCTGCTAAAAGCACAATGGAATGCTAGATTCAGAACAATGATTATGTCAAAACTGTCTTTTCAGATGTTTGTGTAACGACTTAACTTCCCATTAATTCCTTTCTATTCACCAATTCCATTCTCTAGTTGTTAACAAGGTTCAAATGCTGGAGGAAGGCGTGGCAGAACGGATTCAGGCACTTCTACGGTCAGAGATGCCTCCTGTGCAGTTTAAACTTCTTGGAACACTACGAATGTTAGCAGATGGCCAAGGTAGGGAACTGCTGATGTTTACTCATGTCATCTACAAATTCTTCTCCTTCCTGTGTCCCATAGGGCATGTAGAGGGAGAGGACAGGCTAAGCATCCCGCTAACCTAATTCCACTCCCTCTGGTGAGGTTCCCATAGAGATTATTGTTCAGGGCTGCAAAAGCCTTCCCGCACCACTCTCAGTCAACCTCAGTAGATGAGGAACATATCAACACAACAATTTGTAGTAGTCAGTGAGGAATGCCAAAGGCCTAAAGGAAAATGTTTTCTACAGAAGATATATCAACAAAGCATAGCACGATGGAAAGGATTTATAATGCCAGACAGCTAAAAAACAAGCGAACAGAAGAATTAGACAATAGAAAGGAGTTGAGGATTAGGAGAAATGAGTTTCTACCACCAGTAACCTCGTCTCTCTCTACATACGTTTTCACAGGTTAGTCTTGGTAAGGCTCAGATGTTGAAATTAAGGGATTATCTGCTTGCACTTCACATCATTTTGCTTTACACTGATAAGAGCATGCAAAGGCAACAGCATTCACTGAACGCTTCACAAAAATCTAGCTATATGCTAAGTGCACAATTAAGGCACAAAACCTCACAATTAAGTTAAGATTACGACAACATCCTAACTTTTAGATGCCTTCGGTTTCTTAGCAAAATATACTCATACATAACAACAAGTTGCTGCAGCTCTTTATAATAAAGGTACAATAGTGGTCTGAAGTCACCACAGCAGCTGCTCTGGAACACTAATCAGTTTAGATATCAAGGTAAGATCTAGCACTCATTAGTTTGCACCGATTTCAACCCTTTTAAAAACCTGCTTCCACTTAAATTTCAACATAGCAGGATACACAGGATTTCAGCCTCTTGTTAGGTTTTGAAGGAAGTCACTGAAATGTCATTTCTGCGAAGTTATATCTTGACTGTGAGAAGGGAAACCATTATTTTTTTTATATTGGGTCATAAGAATAATGCAGATCTACAGTATTAAACATCTATTACATATTATCACTGTTTTTAACTTAATGTTGTTTACTAGCCCTAATAAGAAACCAAAATTTGGCACTAAACTTCTGAATATGAAACAGTACCAATATGATAATGCTGAGTACAAAAAAAGATATAGATTATTCAATGTTTACCCATTCACATCTATGAGCATACACTTCTCCCACCTTTAATTACTTTCTATTTTGTTTACCCAAGAGCTAACATTGCCCTTAATTAACTCAGTCTGAGACTCTTATGAATACGCATCTCCTAACAAGTCCACGCTAAATTAGTTAATTGCCTTATCTAGGGTAAATTAATTACTGACAATCATTGGGCATGCTGAGGCTTACAAAATAGAATAGAAAAGGAAGGTTTCTTTCCAACTATAGAAAAATGCACTGAAACGTGGCCAGCTTTGTTACACTAAAGAGAACGCAGCAATAATCTTTGCTTCAGAGCTGCAAAAGAATTTGTACACCTCGCTACACGGTCAAAGGACACACAGCTCAAATTCAAGTTCAGTTATGTGGACAATTTATTGTAAGCCAAGAGGTCTTTCTGTTCCTGTTAACGATGACTAATTGGTTTTTGTCTCAAAGAGATCTATCAGTGGTAGACATCAGGAAATCCCTGACAAACTGGGTCAAGACCCTTTCTTTGAACAAACCTCTTACACCAGTTTCATTTGCCACCCTCTTACCTTTGTCAGCTTTCTCAACTAAACTGGATTACCATGATCTCCTCAGACTAACATGTAACATCTGACCTAGAAACAAACCCTCTTCATTACCGGAGTTTATCATTCAACATACCACTTAAAACAAACACGTGGGGAACGGGGAAAAGCTTAGAATGAACAACATGAAGTCCAATATAAAACTCCTCAATCACAAGCAATAAAACCAGACACTTAAATTTAAGCTAAAATCTGTTACCACAATGTATTCTTGAAAATAGAGCACACTCAGTGTGAGCATCAGTCCTATGACTAGTATGTGTATTAAAATACACTAAGACTCAAGTGGTACCGTACTATACTGATGCAATACTGAAATGCCATCTCCAGCACTAATAAAGTTTCTTTTGCTACTGAATTTAAAGAGTTTGGGGTTTAGTTTCCTTTCCTGGCACAAGTCTTAAATCATAGTATCTCATCAATTTCAATTCAAGAATTTATCCAGTAAGTTTTTCCCAAGCATCAATCATAAAGATTAATGCTTCTGGGAAGTCCTGAGATAGGGTTACATTGCTTTTCCCTGTGCTTCAGTAACAAGTTCCTCCAAACTTATGACAAATTTTAGTTACATCTAATGGACAGTTTAACAACTCAAGAGTCTAACTACAGACATGCTGCAATCCTGTACTAAGCCTTGGACTTTCCACATAATACCAACCGTAATTATGACCATTACTAAGAAGAATGAAATGGCAAGAACAGGTTCCAAAGAGCTTATGATGACATTCATACAGGGCTCAAAGGGCAAATGCAAGAAATAAAGGGAAAAGGATAGGCCACATATGAATTTTTCAATACGGTAATGTAAGATTTGCTTTCTAAAGATCTGAATTGTTCATTTTAAGCCCTGCTTCAGCAGCCTATGAAAAGGTTAGCTTAACAAGAACAGCTTGATTTATGTTTTTACTACCAAGACATGCCCTGAAACAGCTGACATTCCACAAGCAAAGACGCCCAAGATCATTCAAGCCCAATGCTTTAGTTACAACTTAGACCACAAGATGGAGCTCAGTACCCTTTGTTTATTTTACATTCATATTTCTGGGACAAAGACTGAGATTTTATATGTCTGCTGCTGCTGTTTTTCCCTTCAGCTGACGCGGCTGAAATCTTGGGCCAAGATCCCATGCTGCTGAACAGACTGGTGCAGTGGTGCGATGTCAGTGACGACACCGACGTTTGTGGAGAAGCAAATCGGCTCCTAGCATCAATCTTGCGTCACAACAGATCCCAGGTATGAGAGCTCTTGGTCTCATGTGTTTTAATCTCGTCCTTCTTAAGTTTTTTTTAAAGCTAGTCCATATAAGCTAGGGGTCATACGTTAAATGGTACGTACAATTAGATAACTTAAAAACTTATTTTTGTTAGAATTATCTCTAGTCAGCATCAGTAGCAATTGGAGAGACAGGAGCAAAAAAAAGCAATGCACTGCAGATAGAAATCACACAAACAAGCAACATGGTAACGACTATCACTTGTTGACTTCTACCCTGCTCAAATTAAGGTTTAACAAATGTTAATTAAGTGATGCTTTTCTATTTCGAACAACCAATCAGTTTCAAATACCTATTTTAAATGTTAAAGATAACCCAGCTGTGTCCTGCACATCTGTCACAAGTTCCAGACAGCTGACTTGTCTGTATGTTGAAAAAGTGAATCCAGCGTGAGCTGTATCTGCTAGCGAATTAGAACAAGCTTCTCTTTCTTGTAAATCACGGTATTGTGTACAGACATCCAACTACCCTTTACTCTGAAGCTGTGGAAAAAAAGTAGAGATTATCTGCGTAGGCATGGAGTGTGAAACTAAACCACTGCTAGTCTGAAGGCTTGAAAGAAAAACCGTAATAGATTCAAACTGAAACTCTTAGAGAACATAAAAAAGGTATCTACGCACACAGATCCTCTCTACATGCTTCTATGTACCAACATTTCAAGTAAATTACAACAGCCTTAAGCACACGTGCAGGACTAGTGCCAAAGACTCCTCTAGTCTTATGATACATTCATTTTGATACCATCAGCTCGTACTGAAGCAGGCAGATCATTTCCATCTATCTGGAGACTGAAGAGTGCAATCTCTCCCCCCTTTCCATTCTACCCATAACTCTGATTTCCATCTGTGTCCTTTCATCTTTCCTCTAACAGGAAGTGGTCAAAGCAGTGCAGGAGGCACAAGGAGTGAAGCACCTAGTTTCCATGACCATGAGCGAACACGCTGCCATGCAGAACGAGGCTCTGAACGCCCTGGCAATAGCATCTGCTATTGATTTAGGTATTATTCTCCTGAAAGTATTAATCTGTGCAGAATCCTCATATTATTAAGCAAAAGTCAAGCTGCAAATTTTACTTGCAAGTAAAAGCACGACTGTCGAGATAGAACTCATCAGATGAAGAGGTCACGCACCTAGAAAACGAGAGAAAGAACAGAATACAGGAATTGTCTAGATATTTGGGTTTTTTTGTATGTTTGTTTGCTTAAGGTAGAGTTAAATCATCAAATAATCAGTTTGTGTGGACAGGCACAATCTGTTGAGTATCGTATCAAGCTAAAAGCCCTACCAAAAATGATGAGGATACAGAACACAATGAGAAAAGGTGTAAATGAAGACAGTTACACAGGGGCTGGTTATGGACTTGAATGATCACTGAAATCCATGAAAGGAAAGCTTTCATGAGACAGTTATCCGAATGCAGGAGCAAGGAAAAGCACCGACAGAAAGGCTCTGCATAATCTGAGAACGAAAAATTATAAAACTATAAGTGCTGTAACTACTAGCGAGCTGAATTTTAAGAGATTGAGTACAATAACTTTTCAGGTTTATCCTGCATGATTGATCGTATTTGAAAAAACAGGCTCAGCTTGTGACAACAAAAACAGCCACCACAAACGTACATATATGAAAAGAAACTTAAGGCCAACTAAATAGAGAATTTTCTATAACAACAAGAAAAGCAAGACAGCGAAGAGCCCATCTTAATGCTTAGTCTATCACTAAGCATCTCAGACTCCATTTAATATCAATGTTGTCTTATAGCATTTGTAGCATAACGCTTCCATCTTTCAGATGCCAGAGAAAAAAATTCTACAGATCAGACACTAATTCCCCTTTACTGAGAATATCCCCAAGACATCTTTGTTTATGTATCTGCTTTTAAACGAAGCCAGTTAGAAATCTTATTTTTATGAAAAAGCAAGCATCTTCACATTCTATCATCTTCTCACACAACAGCTCAGGTATCTGATTGCTTATTTTTCAGAAACCCTTGAAGAATCTTTCAAGGAATCGCAGCTAGTACAAAGCTTACACAAACTTCTACAAGACGATAATACAGGTGCTGAGGTGAAATATAATTCAATGAGTCTTCTGTGCAGTCTTCTTAATTCAGGTAACTGCATTTCAAGTACTCTTGTGATGCAAGGATGGATGTTTGTTAGCAAAGTATTTGCGGTTTCTGGAATGTACTGTCCTTGTGATGTTGAAATCAGTGAACAGTAAAGGATAAAGAGGTTCATTCTTCACTGATCACTAAAAATCCCACTCATGGTTTTATTTCATGATAAATTGATTAACCCATTAGTTAAGCTAAAAAAGTAAGAAAAGCTTTATCCCACTGTTAGTGGCATAATCAATTCTTGGATAAGCAAAACCAGAGCCTTACAATCAATTCATCATGCACCAATATTCGGCAGTCTCAGGCCCTGCCTATACCATAACATTTTGGTTTTCATGAATGATGGAGTTTGCATCACTTCCACAGGTCAACATACCTTTGTTCTGCTAACAATGAAGGCAAACCAGAGGCTTAAATAAAACAGCATCTTTATGTCAGCACTCAAACGTATAGGAAATTTCACTACAACAAATGAAGGATATGATTTCAGTTTCTCTCTATCTTCGGTCAGGAAGGATTGAAAAAGCTTCCAAGCAAGAGGAGACTGATCTTGGAAGCATGGTGTCAGCTTAAAACAATCATCTTGAAACCAGGAGTCTAAAAATCTCATGCCACAGTTCACTGTGTCTTTGTGCATAAATTATGGAAACTGAAAGCAATTGCTGTGCTTTGCCAAAGATCTGCCACACGATGAGCTGCTTTTGAAGTCCTGGCGTTGCCTTGTATTTGGCAGACAAGCTGGATTTTGCAATGCACTCATTTCTCTGTAGTCATACATGTACTGGCTCAGGAGCTAAGTGCCTGGATCTTTCAGTGTGACTATGCATCATTCACACATAAGATCTGAAAAGATGTTTTCATTAACACTTTACAGACTTATCTGTAACAGTAAGAATTGAGTCTTACCAATATAGATAGGCTAACAAAGTACAGAGGCCAAAAAAAACCAAAAAAAAAAAACCAACCCTGAAGTGTAGCCTGTACTGTATTTTCAAAATGCTTTTCTGCTGTTTAACCAGTTCTTGGAAGAGAGAAACTGAAGCAAAATTCTTAAAAATAAATACTTCCAAAGGGTTACAAAATACCTTTTGAGAGGAACTTATTTAATTAATATTAGGAAAAATTTGTTTCCTGTGAGGGTGGTCAAATAACTTCCTAGCAAGGTGGCTGATGACCCGTGCCTGTGTCTAACAGACATTTTGACAATGCCCTAAGTAACAGTATGCCTTAACTTTTGGTCTCGATCATGTCTGAACGTCCCTTTCAAGCGAACAATTCTATGCTAAAGCAGCTCGTTTTAAAAAGCAAATACTCCAAATGCATACACTGCAACAGTTGTTGGGAACTGCTGTGCCATGGCACGTCACTAAGTTAGCATTTGCTCTCCCATTCAGGCCATCTGAGACAAGAAATAGAAGACAACAAGATTAAAGAAACGCTCGAACAGCTCTGCAGTCACAGCAATGCAGATGTGGTCAAGGAAGCTCTTATAACACTGCAGATTTTGAAAGGAGAGTCACCCTACTAGCCCCCTTCCTCTACAGAGCAGTCCTGTGCTGTTGCTGAAGCAAATGTGATAAAATGCCAGCTCTGCCAATGCCACTTGGCATTTGTCATGCTGCTGCACCGATGCTATTACAGACCAGTTACAACCCCTGCTTTTGAAACTGTACATAAAATGATTTGGCCTACAGATATCTTTATTACTGCTGTTCTTCACCGAGCTACCAACACATGCAGTAGGAATAAATTCTGTCAAGCAAGAGCGTTTGTAAACATTATGTGAGAACCAACAGGCAATTACCACCTTTGTAATTTAAGCTGCGTCATATTCTCAAATCAGAGTATCACAATTTTTTACTTTTAAGTATTTCAAAATCATTGTGATTTCAAAATTACAAAAACCTAAAGCTTGGATCACACAAACCAAAACAATTAAGATTTAGTTTAGATGTGAGCAATGGGCTAATTGGTACCAATTCAGCTCCTGCACATTGTGAATGTAACTGTGTACTCTGTTGTTTAACTGGAAATCTCACAGCCATCCACAAAGCTGTACCTTCTAACCAACTCCCTCTCCTCTTCCTCCTTTTAATTTCTGCTTTATAAGTCATCTGAGTTTTTACCTGCTAATATAACAAGCTGTACTGCTAAGCACGTGAGGACACGACGTCATCCTGTGTTCAGAGATACAATTAATATCATCTGGAATTATATGCAGTCCAGATAGCACTTGGACAAGACACAAATTAAAGGCAGTCAGTTGTGACAAGTGGGCATTGGTGAAGATTTGAAGGTGACTGGCATGGAATCTCCAGTAAGATAGTCTCCACTAAGAAAGGGAACTTCACAAAACCACTCCAGACAACTCACTTGGCAACACAAATCGTTTGTGACTACATAGTAAGAAAAGAAAAACAGGACCTGAACAGTGTAGAGTTTTCTCTGGCTTAAAGCACACGGCCGTATGGGCATCCTATGACATTCCTGTGTCCAAATAAAACAGCTGAAGCCAAGCTCAATTTCAGAATGAGATAAGCACTTGTGCCTAAACCAGGCATTAAGAGGGAATATATCAGGATTATTACACTTTTTTTTTTTTTTTTTAATTTTCTATATACACACATACTTTAAGTAGCCACACTAAGGTCGCCATTTTTAACACAAGTGATCCAGCCTTAACCTTCTACAGTACTTAACCTAGATACACAAACAATAAAGCCATTATCTATTGGCTAAATGTTTCTGATCTTTCTAAAATTAGAATCAAGTTTTTGTTTTAACGTATTAGAGTCAAAATGGCCAACACAGACACACCAAATTATCAAATAAACCTCATGTTCAGACCTGTTAGGTTACTTCCCTTCTGCACTCAGTGATTTCAGGACCATTGCTCAGTAATTAACTGAGTGACACCTGGACTAGTGGCAGTCACAGTACAAACATCGATTTAAAACTTCTTTTTAATATCTGCAGATGGCATCACTGCTTCTCTGCAAACTGACTTTCAACTTTCATTTTTTGCATGGCTTTCCATCAACAGTGAAGAGAAAAGCACACAGGTTACCTTTTATTCATCAGTCAAGATTGAAAAAAAAATATCAAGAATTACGTTGAGTAAAAAAAGCTTAAGTATTAGCACACCTTTACCTCACAGAGGATAATAGCAGTAGTGATTGCAAGCAATAAATCTTAGAAAACAAATGCCAGAAGTACAAAACATTTATTTCATTTAATCAAACGTAAGGCTTGAGGAAAAAAAAAATATATATATATATATATATGTATACCAAAAGTCACTCAGAAAAGCCATCTCAGAAGAGACATGACCTCCCCTTACACAGGATAAACATTCAAGCTGCATGAAAACCCACAGGCAGTATGGGAAGGAAGAGGAAAGGATGGAGTGAAGAGACAAAAAAGCAAGGCAATGCTATATATAAACCAATTGCCACGTGAACCTCAAAGTACTTGAGGTACAAATCTAACCACATGGCACTGTACAAGAATCAACAGAAATAAAGACCCCTTGGCAAGTAATATTCAGACTTTTAAGAGGTGACTGAAGCTCCTTTGGTCACTGCACTCTTATTTGTGCTCGTAATCATCCTCCTTTCTGTAAACAAACTAACAGTGTTCAAACACGCGTAAGAAACAAGAGCAGTCGCGTTGTGAGAACCAATTGAGAAATAAATACATTGCTTCACAGAAATATATTGTGCTCATTTCTGATAAATAAAAATGATCACACGTTGACAAGTTCCCTTCGCTCAGTCCGGTTATTCAAGTCTGATCTTATATTTGATATCTTCATTAAATGCCTTGTTTTCGCCGTAGTGTTAGTGGAGTTGTTCCAAAGGCAACCAATGAAATCTCAACATCAACAATTTATCAAACCTATCCTTGCAAAACTGTTGATTTTGTTCTCCTTCGGGGCTTTAGAGCAGGCTCACACTCAACTGCTTATTCTGACAAGCCTTGTTTAAACCATAAGCTAAACTGTTAGGCATGAAGTCACTGTGGGTCCATACAAAAGGTGCTAAATAAAACTCTAAGTAAAAAATGTTAAGAAAGTATTCCCATTCCAAGTCTGAAATTACAGTAGCCACATGTACCACCACCGGGGGCGGCGGTTTAAATGCTTAGAGGTAAAACAGCCTACAGCCACAGGATTTTAAAAAATTTTACTGAATAAATGCAGAGGAGGTTATCCACGGTGAAAACAAATGTTCATGAATGTAAAGAGCCTCAGATAGGTTGAACTTGCTCTCTTGAATTCAGTTCCAAAAGATTCCGAAGAGTACTGATACAAAGCTGGTGTTAACATGGCCAAGGCCACTAAGAACAAACTGCAGAAAGACAATGCTGATTAAATTCTGCTTTGCATACAAACCAGATCATCTGAGAACCAAAAGAAATCAAGCATTCATTCATCTCAGACATCTTGGCAAGGATCCACAGACAGTGGAATTCCGATAGATGGAACAGGCCCTTGGTGGCAGCTAACTTCAGTGCATGAACTCCACAGTGACCTCGCTGAAGCCATGATGATTTTCATCCACTCTTGAAACAACTTTCCAGCACTACGTGCCTTGTGTCAAAAAATGGCAAAATGAAATGTACTCCCGTGATGCAATTTTCAACACGATGTTTTACAAACAGAAAGTTACAACAGGAAGCGTTCTCCAATCTTACATACACCAGATTATTACACAGAATAGAGCAAAAGCTGGTTGACGAGGTGTTGTAATTGTTTTGAGCACCAGAGTTAAAAGCAAATGTTACAGAACACCACTTTGTTGCTTGCAAAGTAGCAGTAACTGCAGCAAACGTTTGGCTGCTCCTAATGGACTACATTCAGCAAATAGGTAATACAGACCACAAGTTCAAGGCTCTGCAGAAGAAATGCACCTTGCCCTCCCTTCATTGATCTACAGCTATTTTTCCCTTGTTGCATAATGAAGCTAAAAAAGTATCACAGTGCACTTCTATAGATTTTACTTACAGGTTTTTCAGATGAATAATATTGGACTGTTCTCTGTTCTAAGGAAATCGGCCAACTTTAGACAAGCTTCCTTGTCCTCTTCTGTCTCAATCACTAGCCAGAAAAAGAACTATCAAAGCTGCATTGAAATATACATGAGAAGTACAGCATTGCCTGCGAAGAGTTTCACAGGCTGAAGAGCTAGAAGAACATCTGGACAACCAACACAAAGATTCTTACTGCAAGTCAGCTTCTGCCAGTGAACCGTTCAGCAATACATGCATAATACAAAAATGGAAATGAAATATCTAGGAGTTTGGTTTCCTAAGGTGGCCATATACTTTGGAAATACAACTATCAAGTCCTTCACACAGACTACACGTAGTAAAATATCATTAGAAAAATATATACTTCTTTAAAATTTACACTCTCAGGCACTATAAAAAAAAAGTTTGCTCTCCCTGAAAAAATGGGTGCCACTGGAAGCAGTAAACGCTGTTAGTCATACAGCCTACTGTAAAACCAACAACTACTTCCTAGAAGTTTTCATCCATATACATCCATCTTTGATAGATTACAATAGTATGCCAGGCATGGCCGCGCTTTTGCAGCCACTGCAATCCTAATCCAAAGATTTTCAGAGAAGACTGGACATCTTACTGAACTTCAGGAAAAAAAGGATGGGAAGAAGAATTTGGTTTTCTTCCGGTAAAAGTAAAAACAGTAAAAACCCACAAAAGTTATTTCAGCAGAAGTACTTCAGTTTGATACCATAAGAAACTGTGAAGAAATGGTTCTCGTCAGCACACTGTGATTGGCATTTGAACCACATATTAGAAAACAAACAGAACTGATGATTTAGTAACTTGATAGAAGATTCATAAAAAATTCATAAGCTAGTGTTCTACTAAATGCAGACTTCCTGATTTTTAAGAAAAAAAACAGACCAGTAGTGATTAATGCTGCATCTGAATGTTTTCATCAGCTTTGATACTAGCAATTAGGGCTTGTAATAATCAGCATAGCAAACATGAAAGAAACCAGAGGAAAGGAAAAAGGAAAACAAGTCCAAAGCTAGCATTAGCAAGCTTGCTAACTACCGAAACAAACTGCACTTCCAAACTTCTGTGGGCAGCACTTTTTAAAAAATAGCACTGAACAATAAAAAGCTACACATTTTTAAAGAGTTTTTTCCTTTTTCTATAAATAAAGACTATTTACATTTTCTCCAGACAGCACTAGGGATTCACATTCCCTTGCCTGAAATGGAGACTGCTAACATATAATGCCATAGAGTCAGACTTGTCCCCTCGTGCATTTTCATAACTGCTTGGGTTACTCAAGCTATCCGAGGCTGAACGTAAGTTTCTGCTTCTGAGACTTCTACATCATTCCCAGTCAAACAGAAACATTCCCCATTTCTGCACAACCGTTAACAAAAGAACTAGAAAATTTGTGATGTTTGCTTCAATTTCCAATACCACGATGACGACGGTTGTTGGTCATCTTGCCCAAACGACTGCACGAGTCTACTGCAGAGATTAAAACCTTTTCAATATTCTCAAGAGATCAGCAGGCCTTCTGAAGAGATTACAACACTGAAAGCAATGACAGTTCGGAGTAAAATCAGAACAATCTTCATGGTAATTCTTCAAGGAAGGAGCTTAAAGCACTTCCATTTCTCCTTCCTCCAAGTTTAAAATCTGTTCTGCCAACTTGGGAAACTCCCATTTCTTCCTCACCAGAGATCAGTTCTGATGCACTGAGTTGTCTCATAAGAAAAAAGGCAAACAGATGGGCTGGAGATTCATTTTTGTACCAGCTTGTAGCAAAACCCATGAGCAGGTAAGATCCACTTTTAACACCAGGAGTATTTCACGGTCTGCGCATTTCTTTCCACTTTCATGTCTGATCAAGAATAATAAGATATACTTTTTGCAACATGTGTTTGATTTTATATTCAGAAGGCATTGCCTGCCTTTACAGCTTCTATATCAGAAATCAATGTCCTGGCTAGGAAAATTCCAAAAATCTAAAAAGAAAAAAAAGAACAAAAAAATTGTGAAATGTAATACATGTACCAGTCTGCAAGTAGATACGAGACACAGAGCTTATAACCATTACCCATTATTTCAGAATGAGAACCTTTGTGTGTTCAATGCGCTTCAGTCAATGCAACTACTCTATTGTGAACAACAATGCATTGATAAAGCATTTGCAGGATCAGACACCACTTTGTAGCCAGGATCATCTGTTGGAGCACGGCTATTACTAAACAGTAATGAAGCAGCAGAATCTAGTAGAAGATGTAACTGATAAGAAGATGATTTCTGCAATGCTTCAGAAGTGCTCAAAATAATATTCTACTTCTAGACATCCTACAGGTGGAAGAAACCCAGTTAGCCAAGTTTACACTCAGTTTTAGGAACAGGTAAATTCACAGTATGTCAAATCATTCTGTAACTTCGGTTAATCCAGTCAGTTTTCTGATTTCTTCATTATCTTTTTTAGTACTTCAGTAATGTGCAATAACTTGCACTGAAGTGAAACTTTTGTCTCGAAAAACTAGAGAAGCCCCAGATCACTGGGACATTTATCAACTTGGAAAATATCATTCATTCAGGTTTTCTGGGAAACTTTCCTTTAAAAATTGTAGATTGATTTATAACTCAGCACATTTCGTAGAACATTGTTAGAGAAATAACAACATACTGTGGTGAAGTTCTGGAAAAGCCAGAAGATTTGTTCCAGAAGCAGATATTACGTCTAACTTTTAGTCCCACTATGAAATAACTTAATGCCAAGACAGATTCAATTGGAAAACTGTGACATGAAGGCAGTGTCACAGACTTAACATGTGAATAAGATCACGATCAAATTGAAGTCAACACACTGACAAAAGATTACACTTCCTATCTTGAACACCCTCTTAATTAAAGGGAGCGTTATCAGGTCAGGATTGCTCTACAAAGGCACGGGAAGCACTACCAATAGATACTGATGAAATATCAGTATTTTTATAGTTGGTGAAAGATATTTTGCTGCAACTACACTTGAATTTTCAGTTAAATGGAAAATATTTGGTAGTAGATTTACAACTTGGTTATTTCCCAGTGAAGTAGTACAACAAGAAAGCAGTTGAGTTAAGAATAAACAAGTGCCACAATGAAGGTGACGTCTGTCTTGAAAGAAGTAAGTTGATATGTTCTACTGAGAATTTTGATTCATTTTCTTTGTTGCATCAAGCATAGAAAAGGTACTGTAACAAGTCAGCAGGACTAGACAGAGTTCCTCTAACACCACATTTGCAACCTCTTCACCAGCTACCCTGCTCCTCTATTCTTGATCAGTATGCGTATGTTTGCTCCGTATGCTCAAGTATGCTGACTGGGAGTCTTAGCATGAAAAATAAAATGAGATTTCAGTTTTTCACATTTGTGCTAAAAGGCTGTAGTTCTGATCTACACCGAGCAAATTGCCAGATCTCCTCTCCCTCCTGATATATTGAACTATTAAAATTACATTTATATGAAAATAGAATAGTATGTTATGCTCATATACAGTAAAATACATAATAATGATGTATCATAATATACTGTACAACTGTGTTTTTATTATGACCTTCATTTCTTTGAAATACATAGTTTTGGCATAAGGAAATCAACCGACCTCAACTTCAAAATAAGTCTCTACAAATGCATCATTATCCTGCCCTCATACCTAACATAAAAAAGAACAGCAAAAGCAACTAACCTGTAGCAGGGAGATAGCTATGAAGACACCTGCAACAACGTAGATATTTCGAGGCAACCAAGCTTCCAGAGCAACAATACAACCCTTGATGAAGATCTGGTCATCCCACTGATTCTTGCTCTGAACGAGAACAATTCAAGAACATTACTTCTATGCTCAAGTTTATTTTAACAGTCAAGTCACACGTGAAGGGATATAGTAAAATTTCTTATTTATACAGTAATATTTGAAACTGAATTTCAGAAATACATATATATGCCCAAATTAACTCAAAGGATATCAGGACATTAGTATCTTCCTACAAACCCTATTATTAGAATACTTCAGAATTAGTAGAAAGCGGAATTCAAAATTAGAATGTTAGAACTAATAACAGACATTCGAAATGGAAGTCATACCCCCTTTTTAAATGGGACTTTTCCTTTAGGTGTTCTGTTATTTTCTTCCACTTTCTCTGCTCTAAGTAGAAAAAAAACTACACCATTCTCTACTAGTAGCAGGATGCAGCGCTGTCTGTGCTGACTTAAGTATCAGCAATTGCCCTTTTTATTATCTATGCAGAGAGCAGGAAAGACAAACAGATTCCATCACCGTACCTTTTTTCTGACATCATAGCCACACTGTGTATTCACAACTTTTTGCTGAAAAACAAGGATTGAAAACACGTCAGTTGAATTCTACTTGCCTCTTTCCACACTAAGTTCTGTCTTAAATCCACAAACAAATCACAACTGCACAAAACAGCTCTTCTAGAAAACATTTCAGTTAAAACAACATAGCAAAGAATCAGAACACCAGAAAGGTATAACGTCCAAGTGGACAGCAGGTAAAAAGCAGGAACAAATAAGCATCCTCCGCTACAATTTCCAGCTTCTCCCATTGGCTTTCAGTAGCAAGGACTACTGAACATGACATTTAACAGCTCTACTTACAGCCTTCAGATAAAACATCTGTACTTCCAAGATTGATATCATTTAATCTCTTTCACATAACACCTAAATGCTGGGACAACAGAGGTACCACGCTGATTTTTGCAGTCGAAAATATCTTCCTTACAACTCCATCACTTCATGTGGCTATCCTTGTTAGTGAATACCAGGAACAGATAGATAGCTGCAAGCTACTAGAGTGCCTTTAACAGTTGATAAATCAGTCTCACATAACCCAGCTTTGAGATAAAACCACTGTAGACAAAGAAAACCTTCCCGTTATGTCTCAAACAAACCTTCCAGTTTCCAATTCCACAAAACCCAACAATGGTATTAAGCTCCAAAGATGCTTCTTTTATGATACTTTTGTTTTTCTTCCCTATGAGACTAATCAAACCTATTTACTACACAATTACTGAAGTACTTACACAATATGTAGTGAATTATATCAAGATGCTCGGAGAAGAATGGCAAATCAAAGAAGTTTACATTTAACACTATCTCCTTAAATACAGCACCAGCAACAGGAAAGACCACAGTGAAATAGCACAGTTCCGAATTAAAATGAGAGAAGAGTTACCAGAGGATCTGAACTCGGAATACTTTCCTGACAACATCTTTCTTTGGTTGACTCTAGATGATCAAAAGCCATAGCATAACCTACCATGGTTATCTCCTTTAGGTGAGGACTGCTGAGTTGACCTGAACAACAATTACTACAAAGCATTCATTTGCATCTATCTGTTTCTGCTTCCGTTCCAAGGATCAGATTCCTACAGCTTAATAAGCAGACCTAACCAGCGAGTACTTAAGAATTGCCAAAAGCAAAGAATTGACTCAGAGTTGAAAGCTGACTTAAAACTCAGCCTGTGCACGAGCACTTAACCAGCTGCTGATAACCAAAGGCATGAGCAAAGACAGTTACTCCTACTTGTCAGGCAGAGGGGTGCTGTACAGCAGTTCTAAGAGGGGCCAATGTGCTGCTTCAACAGTAGATGACAGAGCTTGAAATCAAGGCCTCGGGAATAAAACAGTATCAATAGCCAATGTTCACAGACCTCAATCACATAAAAACAGCTTCTGAATTCCTAGTGACAGGCAATACATTCTCAGCTGTGTAAGAGGCGGACACATCTATTCTATCCTCTAAAAAGAATAGAGCAGTAACAAAAACAGAATTTGGCTATTAATAATAATTTTGGATATTTAGAAGACTTTTTGAAGCCTACACCACACTCAGGAAGTACTTCTTGTCATAACTCTTCAATAACAGAATGACACCAAACCAGGAAACAACTTACAGCAGGATCAGGTATACAACAGGAGAATGGAACACCGCATTTCTCACGACTTTTGCTTTCACTGCTGCAGTTGAAGTATATGTTGAAATCCCAGTCATCCGGGCCTTGGGCACCACAGCAATGGTTCTGCAAGAGATAAACAAACACTTGCTATGTGGGGACGTTTTATAGATAATGTATTCACTGATTAGGTCTCTGGAATAATATTTGCTCAACTTCCCTATGGCTGTAAGGAATCAATGGCAACACAAAAGTAAAACAAACTGAATAATCAATACAGCGTATCTATGAAACAACAAAAAAAGAACCATTTGGCATAATGTTCTTGGAAATAGATGCTAACACGACTCGAAGCATCAAAAAAAATTATCACTTCACATGTAACTGCCCAATGTAATCCACGTTAGCCAAATGCAAAAGAAATACAAAAAAGAACTATTTCTTTAACTTTGTGATTTAGCTTTTAAGTCTCCACGAATCAACAAGATTTTCCCCCTTTGTTTACTCTGAAAAATGTATCAAAACATTTGTGAATACACTTATTTTCTTTCAAATGAGAAAATTTTCATACCCATGTGAATTAACTGACATAGCCTTATTCATTCAAAGGTCAGTCAGCTCTGTGATTTTTTCACATTATGTTTCTGGACCTAAACAGTGCAATGTAAATTTCGTAAATACAGATCAGGGAAATCCAAACATTTCAAAGAATTTTCAAGTTCTAGAACAGGTGAAAATTGGTTTGCAGTTCACTAACCTGTGTTACAATTCATGTACTTGAAATGTTTTATTACACATTTTCCTAGTACCTCATAAAGTTTCCAACTCTCTTAGGATACCACTTGCATCTCTAACGTTACCGATGCTGGAAGTGGCCAGGAGCAGCATCACCTTACAAGAAGGTGCCCTTAATACCAAATACCAAATAAAGTAGTACTCAAAACCATCCAGTCAGCTTAAGTCAGCAGATTGTTTCACATGCCATGTTAACACACACAAGAGTGAAATAACCAAGAATGTACAGCTGCTGGTAATATATAACAGTCCATACAAGTATACGTTTTGCTATCAAAGTGAGCTGTGAACACAGATTTTTAAGTGTGATCTTCTAAAATATAGGATACAGACAGAAAAGTGACTTCCTTGACAAGGGAAAAAAAAAAAGGGAAGAAAAAACTTTTTACCTCTTTGTGAAGTAGTTCCTCAATTTCTCTCCATACATGCAGACATAAATTAAAAACAAGAAAACTCACCCTCACTGACTGTTTTTTGCGTGTGACTGTAAAAGAATCTGAAAGCCACCAAGCTCTTATTAGCAACAGGCCTTACTATCTCCACTCTTAGCAACTGACTATTTTAGGACAAAAACAGCATGCAATTATTTGAGTACAGCTTTCCACAGCTAAAAATCTTTTTTGCTTTAAGATGAGATGCGTCTCATAAGTGATAACCAGCACAGCTTCATCAAGGGCAGACCCTGCATGACAAATGGTGTCACTTTTTATGATGGCATAATTGCACCAGTGGACAGTGGAAGAACCACTGATGGTTCTGCAATTCAGTAAGGCCTTTGACGCAGTCCCCCATGATATCCTGCTCTCCAAATTGGAAAGATACAGATTTGGTGAGTAGACTGTTAGATGGATGAGGAACCGATGGTAAGACTGTACCCAGAGAGCGGTGATCAGTGGTTCCATGTTCAGATGGAGATAACAGAGCAAGTGGCATCCCGCAGAAGTCGGTACTAGATGAGCGATCTTGAACATCAGTGAAACTGACAGTGGGATAGAGTGCTTCCTCAGCAAGTTTCCAGATGACACTAAGCTGTGTGGTGCAGTCGACACGCACGAGGGATGGAATGCCATTCAGAGACCTACACAGGTTGAGCATTGAGCCTATGCGAACCTCACGAAGCTCAACAAAACCGAGTGCAAGGTCTTGCACCTAAGTCACAGGCAACTCCCAGTATCAGAACAGGATGATTAAGGACAGAGCACAACCCTGCTAAAAAGGACCTGGGGCTACCTGTGAATGGTAAGCTGGACCTAAGCCAGCAATGTACCCTTGTAGCCCAGAAAACCGACTTAATCCTGGGCTGCATCAAAACAAGCGTGGTCAGCAGGTCGAGGGAGGTGATCCTGCCCCTCTACCCTGCACTGGTGAGATGTCTCCTGGGGTACTGCATCCAGATGTGGAGTCCTCAGTACAGAAAAGATGTGTGGTAAGAGCACGTCTCACAAAAACCAACAGAAATGAGTAAGTTCCTGGAAGACCTGATAGCGGCCTTTCAGTATTTCGAAGGGGGTTATAAGAAAGAAGAGTTCAGACTCCTTAGCAGAGTCTGTTGCAATAGGACAAAGGGAAACAAATGAAAATTAAAGGAGGAGAGTTTAAAATTAGTCTTAAGGAAGGAGCTTTTCTTTTTTTTTTTTTTTTTTTTAAACAGTAAGTATAGTGAGGCACTAGAACAGGTTGCCCAAAGAGGTGGTAAAACCCTGTCCTCAGACACATTCAAGGTCAGGCTGACCCAGGCTCTAAGCAACCTGACTGATCTGTAGATGAGGAGTTGGACTTAATGATCTTGAAGGTTCCTTCCAACTCAAAAGACTCTATGATTGTATGAAGACAAAAGGCTCCCTAATGTAACTCCATGAAAGAATGCAGTGTCTCCTAAAGAAGTGCAGACAACTAGACACTAATTTCACTGCATGAATTTTTTTAAATTTAGTTTGTATTTTTGTTGTTTTATTTTAGATAGAGATAGGGTTTTTTGCACACTTTTAGCTTGACCTGGTGCAACACTGATCAGAACGGGGAGCAAAAGTGAAGACATTGACAATTAGAACACCACTGCGCCTCACATGTCTTGTTTAGTTTGGAGAAGAGAAGTCTGTGGGGAGATCTCATTGTGGCCTTCCAATATCCAAAGGGAGTGTATGAACAGGAGGGGGAACGGCTGTTTACGAGGGTAGATCGTGATAGGACAAGGGGGAATAGTTTTAAACTGAGACAGGGGAGGTTTAGGTTAGATATTAGGAGGAAGTTTTTCACCCAGAGGATGGTGAGGCACTGGAACAGGTTGCCCAAGGAGGCTGTGGATGCCCCATCCCTGGAGGCATTCAAGGCCAGGCTGAATGTGGCTCTGGGCAGCCTGGTCTGCTGGTTGGTGACCCTGCACGTAGGAGGAGACTGCAACTGGATGGTCATTGTGGTCTTTTTCAAGCCAGGCCATTCTGTGATTCTATGATAACTAATGCTCTCAGTAAAGAAACATCAGAACAGCACACCTGTCACATGGCACTACTAGCTAAAGAGCACGATCAATCAGTAACACAAAAGAGGGAAACTTCCTTAACTACATATTCTCCCAGAAAACAAAGGAAAAGTGACAGGCAATGTACTTACAATTTTCTGTAGTGAATCAATGAGGTTCTGGAGGTCAATATCATCTCGGTAGGACTTAATGTTATTCTCAAAGAACTCCTTGACTTTGTCCCTCACCCAGTCCTGGAACAAGACAGCCAGAACTGCCACTGCCAGCTCCAACAGAAATATAAATACAATCGTTCCACAGAACTGTAAAAGAAAAAGTCACATATTAGAAGATATTTATCCCCCTTGAATGCATCCGTATTCCATTAGGAAAAGATTAAGACATGTTAAAACTCTTGCTCAGTAAAAACACTATAAAAAGAAGGGACTGCTAAGTGAGAGAATTTAAGGAAAAAATAAACTAGAAGTAGAGTTATCTTTTCATTTTGGTTATGTGAAGTGAAAAGAAGCACTAATCTACAGTCATTACACACAGCAGTTGGATTATTAATATATAATAATCTGCAAAACACAGGGCTTGGTGGGCTCTTCTCATTTTCATTATTTCTTTTGTCCCGCTTAACTGTTTCTAAATTTAAATAAAGGAAATCTCAATACAAAAGCAAACGTTACAGATATTTTGTTAGTCATTTAAGCCCCCAATTTTTGCCCTCTGAAAACTTACAAGAGATTAAGCTATAAAGCGATTGTTTGCCCAAAGCCACAACATGATCTCCTTTCAGTAACTTCCAGCTATGTTTCAGAACATCACTTCATGCTATTACATATTACATTATGTTACAATCTGAAATACATAAAAACATTGCTGCAATAGCAGAATGAATGAAAAAAAAAGAAACATTTCTAGGAGCAGGGCTAAAATACTTAAGTTTAGATCTTTTATGCTGTCCCTTAAAGAAGTTTGTCAGGGACTGAGCTCACCATTGCACTGTAATAAACTGAACGCCACAAATTACTTCTTTTCTTCACCCATGGTTTCATACTTTCACATACACATGGATTCACACATGTAATGATGTTACTCACAAACTTCAGAAGGCAGATGTTTTCTCTCAGAGCTCCCACACAACCAGCAAATCCCAAAGTAAACATCACAATTCCCACGACTAAGACAAGCACCACTGGATCAAGACCATGAAGACCAGTCACCTTTGTTAGGTCAGATAACACACCCTGAAAAACAGAATAACAGAAATATGACCACTACAGCCATTTTCTATTTCATATTTGGAATTGTGATGATTCTTACGAGATACCAAAGTAATCGGTTTCAAATCCTTGAGCTTGCAAACTGAGACCCACTTGGAAAGGTTTGATCACAAAAGGGTTGTTGAGGAGATCAGTTTTCTTTATCCCAGCAAGTACTAATGCCAAGTCAAAGCTGTAAATTCTTACTGAGCAATCTAGTGCAGTCCATACATTTCAGACTACTTACATCTATTTGCCAAACAAGCTTCCACCAGATGGTGCCAAAAGCTCAACGCTATCACTGAGCATCCAAATCATGGCAACAGAACTAATAACGTATATTAACTTGAAATATAGCTATCAGGAAAAGACCAAAGTCATTAAATAACATCTTTCCAACCTCGATGTTTAGGTGGCATAAAAAAAGAACACTAACCACATGAAAACATATGGGTGATGCAAGACTGAATTTCTATGTCTGAGTTAATCATAATACAAAAAATTCATCATCCTCTCAAGACTGTTCCATATAAATTTATACCAGCTAACATGAAAATCTCATCAAATCCATATAGCACAAGATTTTCAAGTCATGTGCAAGAAAAACAAGATGAAGATGCAAGAAACAAGAGACTAACAACTCTAACTGTTTAAGTTAACAAGAATACTCTGTAGGGACATTCAGGCAGCCTTGCATGATCTGAGTGTTTGCTCACAGGCTGAACATTTTAAGATGAAACACTTTCCCTTTAAAACAGAAAAATAATAAAAATCCCCTTTGTTTGCTTTATAAAATATATGCTCATACTAACTACATTTAGCATGAGATACTGAATAGACTCCTAAAGGCTTACAATTTGTAGAAGTAGTCTAACCAAGTAATGCAAATTCTCATGTTGCTAATCAGATATTTGCACTAGAGGTAAGTGTGAAGAATATGCATGAAGAGAATTTGTCCAAGGTATTCTCTCACTTTCTAATTGTATACTTAGCTAACAAAAACAGTGTCTTGGAAATAATGCATTAAAAGCTAAAGTTAATGTTGAAAAACCTCATCAGCTGATGGAAAAACACTGATTAATAGTATTCTCAAGATATTCATAATATGTTCTCACAATACATACGAGTTTATCTTCTTTCACAAGTTCCACAACAGATCTTGACAGAGCCATTAATTTGGTGATAGCAAGACAGCAGACATGTGGCATTCCTGTTTTGTTTGTTTTTAGATCAAAACTGGCTGAAGGGGCAAAAAAATCTAATTGAATAGTACAAATCAGAATTGCCTTGCCACTGCTTGTCACTAAGAGTTGAAATAACCCATTAAAAAGCGGCCACGGTTTAAAGATTACCCATCGTTCAAAAAGTCCTGGGAAGCAAAGACACCAAGTCAGTCCAATCAGTGACATTATTCTCCTTACAAACTGTGAAGCCTCAAAGCTAACTATCATATCTGGCCTACTGGTGAACTGGAGTCCTATCTAATCAATCACATCCATGCCTCAGACATTCAAAACAGGGCAGACGTGTCAAGACTAAGTCAGCAAATCAATAAGCTATGGAACTAATCAGTCTGAACAGGATGCTGAAAGTTTCAGAGCTGTTTCCGGCTATCCACTTCCTACATCTAAACCTCAAGTTTTCCTCAGACATCTTTTGGAACAAAACTTCCTTCGATCAAAGCACTTTGTGAAAATAAGTAGACAGGAAGTAGGGTCTATTATTCACCCTAGGTTCAAAACAATCTCTTCAAGTTCACATTTGAAATTTACAACGTTCCCTTGTTAGTGTGGAGACTCTTGGTCTAAAGAAATATGGCAAGTAAGAAATCCAGAAGGAAGGAAGTCAGTCAATAAGCAATTCAGTTCAAGAGACTATCTCACCCCACCTTATTCATCTTAGGATGCTTCTGCCGGGGACAACTGAAGGATGATGGTGTTAAGACTCAGCCCTCTCTCCCCACCAAAAATCAGAAACTTAAAATATCACTGATGCATTTAGAAACGCCATTGAATTGGACTTGTGGAATCATTATTTATTTGAAAACACGTGGGAAATTCTTTCAACAAGCAGGTAGCTCTACCCTCCCTTCATCCCTGCCCCAGAGACAGCCTCCAGAGTAAAGAATACTGTTGGAATAATCTCCTTCCCCAGCCGCTGACCACGCGAGTGCTAATACAGCCAGCAGGTGGATGGCTGCCTTACACCTGAAGGTACACAGCTGATATTCAGCTTAATGACCGACAGGAAACCAGGGTTTTAATTCCCAAACCTGCTTCCTAGGCAGTGAGCCCCCGCTCAGCCTGTACTGATGCCAGCTTTTTTGACATGATGGCTCAGACTTATCTTGTTGCTAATACCTGAATCATACAGTCATACTCATTTTTCTTCTGATAACTTTTGCAGTATCTCTCAGGCTACACATTAACATCAAGCCAGCCTTTACTGATGTGAACTTAACATGTTCTGCAACAACTTCTACATGACTGTTTGAAATAACAGGAACCACTTAAGAGATCACACGTGTAGCCTAATTAGATTAAAAAAATTATGCATTTGACTCATAAGCATGATAATGTATACCAGGGTGGGTAACTTTTGTTTTTTTTACTTAAGTTACTTTCAACACTTGACACAAAACAGCGTGCTCCTTTTGATATGTTATCAGCTCATAGAGATATACAGCATTTACCTCTGGATAAAAAGAACACTCAGGAATCAAATTGAAGTCGTAATGGAAAAGATGATGACAAAAAAAACACAACAAATAAGTTAAAAAAGATCGATGTACTTCATGCTGCACTAAGAGACAGGATGTTTAAAACTCTTCTGTACTACCTTTAGTTTCCCCTTGGGTTTACCACTGCAGCTTTTAGAATGTTTTTCTTTTACTTCCCTTCTATTGTTCACTGAAACTTATCTGTAAACAGACAGATCCACACTGTGACATACATCCACTATTGCAAAAGAACAGCAATGATATGAAAATGTCCACACAAAGCAACTGACACGAAAAAAATAAGGTACAGATTTCAAGAGCCATTCAGAAGTTTAAGAACACAGGAAAAGCTTTTAAGTTCTTAGTTGTAGAACAGACAGTAGAAACAGTTCAGGCAAAATTCAAGAAATAAAGACAGGAAAAGACAACAATTTTACCAAGGCTTTCATTTTCAGTAATGTTAGTATACCGTAAAGGTCATTTGGCAAACTGAGCCAGTCATTTCCAACCACAGAGATCATATGTGCTCCTTTACACAACAGTCTGAAGCAGAAAAGAGCATACGAACATTACAGAAAACAAATTAAAGCTACGTTTGACACCTTCTGAAACACACCTTCCATAAAGGATTAGAAAGAAAATTATTTTATAGCAGGAGATAAACACCAGAACCTCACTACATTGTCAGTTTATTGATACAAAGGCTCTATGGAAACGTTACACTATATTGGCAATGAAAATGTACCTACTCAGTAGCACAGCTCCAGAGTGAAGGCACGTGCCCTGCACTGTCAATTAAAATGCAGTTAAGTCTGCTAGCCACGGTCACTTTTTCCTTACTGCTTGCAGTCAAATGTGAGCCATGCTTCTACAATCATTAACAGTGGGGTAAACCATTTATTTTCACATCTATATGGTCTCTTGTAAGATGTGAATTACACAGATACGTGCCCAAAGCCCTCCCTCCATTGAGGAAGTGACACAGCTGAAAGAAACTTCAGTAAAACAAAAGCAAGAAAATATTACTGAGTTGGGCAGTGCTCCCCAATTTTCTTCCTCTATATGGTCACAGAATCAGGTCTGTAACTCCACAGGAAGTTAAGTGGATAACAGATGGCCTTAAAGTGATAACACTACGTTAACACCATCTTACAGATGCATGCTAATTTTTTGTTTTTATAAAAATCTTTTTCATCCCTTCAAAAGGCTAATAACCTTCCCCCATCCTCTTATTAGAATTAAGTATATTTATAAAAAAAAGGCTTTCAAAAGAGAAACAACCCACAAAGATGAAATTTTCTTCTTAATTCTCTTTAACCCTGCTCTTACAAGTCCACAACGAAGTCTAAACTCAAAGGGCCATGGCCTAATAGCAATAATGGGTAAGAATAAAACTCCAGCTACTTTACATTTAGAAGATCTGAATGCGGTCCTGAGCTCTGATGCTACATTTAAACCTCACTCCTTCTACGGAAATCAATTGTTTTAGTGGAGCAGAAGAGGGCAGCCACCAAACTACGTAATACCAATCATTTTACCCTTACCTTTTCACTCCATGCCCACAGTCCAGCTGCAAGGAATGCCATGCCAGCTAGCTAAAGCAAAAAAAAAAAAAAAAGAAAAAAGAAAAATATTAGATATACTTATCAGTGAGAAAATGCATTCTCAAACACTTAGCCAGTAGCACTATGCTTGAGTAAATATTGTCTGCTGTCCAAGGTAACAGTAATGGAACATTCTTCCTCATGAGTCAAGCTCATTGAAAGAGGATCTACACTTTTATTCTATTCAATTTCTGCATTGTGAGAAGTTATTAGCGGTATTTAAAATTTCATTACTCATATTCATTTGAGAAGCACATACTAGATTGCAAAAGATTTATTTCACTAGTTCACTTTCTAGTTATTACCTATTACCAACCCCAGACTGTAGCCGTGCTTAACTTCTCATAACCTCAGTGGCAAGAGTCAGATGGCCTTCTTCCCTAATTAGAAACAACTTCTCTACTAACACTTCACCTTTTTTAAGTCCTCTGAATTTAGCTAGTCCATCTTCTTACCTTCAATAAGCAGCAAATATAATCAGACAAACTCCACACTAATTCTAATGCTGGCATAGTAATTATTTCTCAACTGCATTCACAAGAAGCATGAGATCCTCTGTCCTTTATTTACTATCCTCAGGCTGTCTGTCTCCAACATCTACTTGGAATAATCAATATAAAATTACCTCTGTAGACAAGGCCACTACCCCCCTGCCTCCACACATACACAAAACACAACAGACACACACAATTACGTAAAATGACATTCTAGCTTGATAGAGCTATGCAACAAGTCTACCCTAGCCATATGGAAGAGGTTGTTTCACTCCCATCCAGCAAAACCTACATGCACACTAATAAGTAAATTCCAGCACTCCAAAACAACCCTCAAACAGGGATCCTTTCTTCCAGTAACTGAACGGACATTACAGGCAATTCCCTGTAGCACAGTCAAGAAGCCAAAATTAGACTTCCTTACATTCACCCAAGGAAATATGCGTAGATTTGATGTATTGCTGGGTTCATGGTCCCCAGGCTCTGAAACTGCACTCCGATAAAGCCAGGAGAGCTACAAGTGTCACTCCTGCCATCCTATCTAGATTACCCACATGATGAAAGAGCTGTGCCCATGCATGCAGTATGGCATATGTTGGCACTAAAGACGAGAGGTGAACTAAACAAATCCACTCCTAATACAGGAAGATACTAATCCAGTACAGGAAGAGTCACAAATAAGCAAAGAAGCACTAAGCAGGTTAAATTTCCATATGCTGTTTAACAGGTGCCCTTTGCAGACTGGCTGTCTTTCATTATAATTACCATCCTAATTAAACTCAAATAGATTCTTATGTACCTTTTCAAGTATGTTCTAATTAGCTTGCCTCATTCTCATCTTTCAACACGATACAGAATGTTCAGTTCCACAAGCCACTATTTTTGCAAAATTATTTGTGAGCACCTATGCAAACTAGTTGCAAGAAAAGTTGAGCTTACTGGCAAAAAAATAACCTTAGCAACCTAACTGTAAATAGATAAAGCTAAAACTTACCCCAACTTAGACTTAAGCAACCCAGAAATTTCATTAGAAGCAGCCAAAGTACGGAAAGCAAATTAAGCAAAGAGCAGTCAATTATCACAGTTTTGCTTGAGAAACAAAAATATCAGGTTTAGGGCCCAGTTTCCAAGCCTGTCCAGGTCCCTATGGATGCTACTCTTTCCTTCTATGGTGTCAACTGCATCCTCAGTTGGTATCATCTGCAAACTTGCAGAGGTACGCTCCATCTCTTATGCTATTTCACTGATAATAATGATGTTGAAAAGATTCCTAGACAGACCAGTTCCCAAGCACAAACAACAGCTTAGCATAAGCAATGCCTGCCCCAAAGCAGTGGGACTCCTTACATTATGCTATGAGGACTGCCCTATGAACTGAGTACACAGCACTGGCTTGTTTTTCCTATCCAGGCTGTAGCAAAACATAGGTCCTGCAATAGGACTCCTACATGCAAACTGACTGAGTCAGCCTGCCTCAAGCTCTGATAACAAGTACTGGGAACGTATTCCCAATGAATTCAGTTTCAATACACACAAGATGTTACTCTCAAGGAAAACAACTTCCACACCCCGGTAAATCCTATCTGACATCATAGCTCTACCCACACTGGAGCAATCAGTAGCTTACAGTCTTTCCTGCCTATCCTTCTCTCTTTCCTGACTTGTCCTGTTGGGGTCAGGAAACAGCCCAGTTGTGGATTGTTTCCTTTTCTGGCATAGCCGTGCTGTTTCAGGAGTTCAGCACATTCTAACACAGCTAACAGAACTACAAGACAAAAATCAAGATGACAGCAGCTAAAAGCTATTTTATTCTCTCCTATCAATTTGAGATAGGTTTTGGCAGACAACACAAGCAATCCTTCACTGAAACAGGCACATCCTAGCTGTGGTGTGACTCTCGGACTACCTCGAAGGCTTCAACTGGAGACAGAACAGCAAACAAAGTAGATGGGTGACTTGTATTCCATAGGCTTCATATACCAAAAGCTGAAGGCTCAGATCAGAGCAGCACTCTACAAGACAGGGCACCAAGAAGCTCCACCCACCCTGCTGACTCCTCTGGGGCTTTCACAGCACCATTAACCCGATTGCAGAATGAATCAGCACAGCAAGATGCCAGAACCAAGCCCTTCCTCTGATGTTATTGCAACTTCTTTATTTCATTACACCAGATGAAGCTATCAGGGTGGGGGGATAAGAGGTAGACTCAAAAAGCAACTCTGAAACTCAACGAGGTCCAGTCTTCCTGTATATTTCACTCCTGAGCACTCACTGCACGGCTCTGTCCTGATGGTTGCATTGCTGCCTCCTCTCTGCTCACTAAATGAGTATACCTGGAGAAGCTCAATCTTATTAGCATGCTTAAAACTTAAGAAAACAAAGGAAATGCAAATTAAAATTGTGCCTAATACAAGCCTTACTTTGACCCCCATCCCATTTCTCACAAGGAAAAGCCAAGCACAAAGAACAGAAAAACGACTCTGCAAGTTAGTCATACACAACTCAAGGTTAGCAGAATTGAGGCTTCTACTGTTAAGTCGTCTATGTGAAAAAACTTGCAAAGAATGCACATCTACCGATTTCTAGAAGTTGCCTAAGCTGCGAGACTGCAACAGAACTGCATTTTCCTCCTTCGAGTTCAATATTTTGCTCCACTCCAATTTATACCAACTGAATGTATAACATGAGAACCTGCTAACGTACTGAGAAGTTTGTGTATTCTTTAAGACACTACATATTTTTAAGTTCACCGAGTCAATTACCTTTAGAGCTACAACAGGAAGGTCAACAAATAACCACAACTTAATTGAGTATAACAGAAGAACAAAAGCAACTTCTATTTCTTTACACACAAGTTATCTGCCTCGTGAATAAACTGCCATGATTTGAGACACAGGTGAGCTATCCTCATACTCCAGGAAGAGCTAAAATTGGCCAAAGTCAGTCACATTGCTGAGATGCCATCCCTCATACCCACTACAACAGCAACCCTCATTCTGAGGAAATCTCACAGGGAACTGAAAGAATTTAAAAATAATACGGTAGGGGAGGGGAGCAAAGAGCTACATTTAGCTGAGATCGATTTCCAAACTCATTTTCTTGCACAGACAGTTGTGAGAGACCTGAAAGAAAGCATTAACTGGCTGGCAGAGGAGAAGCACCATCTCTTTCAGTCACAGCCCAGTGGATTCAGCAGGGCTCCTGGGCACAGCTCTGCACACCATGCAGCTATGCTGCTTACACTCCACACATCACTTAACAGCCCCGCTGTTGGAGTATTCACATCTGTGATTCCAGCAAGCACATTTGTCCTGCAAACTAGGGAATGTAAAGCAGAATAGCAATGCCTCCTTAAACTCTGATTTTTCAAGACAAAGTTACCTCTCCCTTCTGGTTTGATTGCACCCTCAGTTCACCTAAGGAATCTTTTTTTTACTTCGTTATACACAGCACTGATTTGTTCCACTGAAAAAATACTACACTAGTCATTTCAACCAGCTTGATTTATCACAGACTCCTGAACCACTGTGCCAGCTAAAAGTCACCCACTTGCTTATAGGAGCATCTACCCTCCCACTCAACTTTTTTACATATCCTGTTCTACAACCAAAGCTGCTTTACCAAAAGAGTTGTAATTATACCACATCAACACAGTAACTTCTCAGCCGAAGCCTCAAACCATTTACTGAGTGAACTAGCACGACTATTAATACTTACTCAGAAAACCAGCTCTCAGTCAAAAAACTCAGCCGAAACCTACAAATTGTATTTCAAGTTCTCATCAGTATTTCCAAACGTCTGATGGAAAAGAATAATTTTTGGACCTTCACCAATAACTTCAAAAGATCACAATGAAAGTATATAATTACATGAGAAGTAACAACTATTCAAGGAATTAAAAGAAAATAGAGGGGCAAAAAATGAATTATCGTGAAAAAGCAGAAATGAAGTTATTAATAGTCTTCCCAAGATATAGAACAGTCTTCGTTTTGCATAGGCTGCTTACCTAACAAGCAGTAGTTTGTGATGCACTCGCTAGAAAGGAAGACATCTAGCACAGTCCTAACCTTCAAGAGTAACAACAAGAAGAAATTCTGTTCATTTCTCACATACACCCCATGCTATCCGCTTTGGAGCATCCACTCAGTAATGATTTCCCTGAAAATTGGAGCTATGAAGAGTACAGCCAAAGATGACTCCTTACCACACTACACCCCATTACACGTACATAGGGGTTGTGCTACAGAGAAGAGACAAAAAACAAGTACAGAGCCATCCTAGGACCTGAGTTATGACGCATGGTAATCGTAACCATTTTAAGTGGCAACCCATAAATGCTAAGGGAGGGAGAAAATACCACTGATGTTCAACAAACTCTGGTTGTATAGCAACACTGTGGCCAAATAGCCTTCCCTGGAAAAACACATTGCACAAACATACACCTTCTTTCTGCCCTGTGAGACACACAAGTCCCTACTGCTTAAAGCTAATCAGGCTAAATCAGTGCACTAGTAAGCAGGAGGTAGTGACAGCAGCAAAAGATTCTATGGTATTAAACAACATCCAGACATTTCAGTCTAGGTTTTCCTCAGCTCTCTAACAATTTCAGGCTGGCTGAGGACAGCAGAAAAGCAGTTCACAAACTTCCTAGCTCACCTCTTTGAGCAGTGGTCCCCTACACAAAGAGTCTTACTTACAACAGAAAATTAAGCCAGATGATTTTCTTAAGATCCCTCAGAACTACATTTTTGTATCATTCTCTCTAAACTTAGCTTTGCCCATCACTCGTGCAGTTTCCAAAGAGATTATTCTCTATCATGTACACTGCAAAAGCAACCAAAAGACAGAGGAATGCTAATCCAGTTTATCAGAACTTTATGTGAGCTAATCAAGCAAAATACAAGTCATTATTGACAAACACCAACAAGATCACACAGCTTGCAGATTATGTTCAGACAAATTTATTTTGGCTGAAGTTAATACAAATTTAGGTTATAATTATCTAGACCTTAAACTTTACAGTCTAGGAAGATGAGGTTTAATGAATAGTGACAATGAACAAAAAGAACAGTCTTTACAGAACTCTGACAATCAGAATCAAGAAAATCAACTTGTACTTTCAACTTGCACTCTACTATTCTTTCATTATTACTATCTGACCCTTCTGACTTTGGGAAAAAAAAAACCTCAAGTATTTCAAAGAAGCCATCCAGACCATACAAGCATTTCAACTCTGAATCACAACATTAACCCAGGCTTCTAGCATTGTGCCATCAAGTTAATGCACCTGCTCTTCATCACAACTACCTGCGCCTATCCATGAATTCAACTTCCATTACGTCAGATGTGAATTCCTCATGTTTGACCTGTAAGTTCTTGGAAGAATTATCAGCTTCAACTGATCAGTACCTTTGCCTTCACCTCCATATTAATTATTTCCAATGCAGTGCTCTGCATTTATCTTTGAATGGCCATCTTTCCCGAGGTAGTTAGGTGCTTCGCTCATCTTGATCATCATAACCCTTGAAATCCACACATGATATTGCACTCTTTTCAAATTAAGCCAAGTACACATATGCCTACTTGAAGTCCCTATTTTAAGACATGCTTAGGCAATTTTGTTAACCTTGGAACAAAGCCTTCAGGACCTTGACTACACAGTAATTCTTAACGAAACTACAGCGTAACACCAGCTGTTGACACACCTCTGCTGGAATTAACAGAGCATCACAGAACGACCTGGGTTGGAAGGGACCTCAAGGATGATGAATCTCCAATCCCCCTGCCTCAGGCAGGGCCACTCATCTCCACATTTAATACTAGACAAGGTTGCCCAGGGCCCCATCCAACCTGGCCCTGAACACCTCCAGGGATGGACGGGGCAATTCTTCAACATGCTGCACATATTGCAGCACTGCTCCAACACTAAGGTCAAGGAATATCTGAAAGGATATATTTGAAGACACTTAATTTAAAAGGGAAGCAACCTAACATACCACTTTGGTGCACTTAAAGGCAAACATATTTATTAGTGCTCTCCATCATTCAAAAACTTCATCAGCCAAAACTATTTTCTTTCAACAAAACCTTAAGGCAGCTCTTTCCCTTTTGCACTGAAAAAGTAAGTTCTCTGCTTCACTCATTTACCTTCACTCACAAGGCAGAAGAGGAAAAAGGGGCAAGAAAGACTGGGGAGTTTGTATCCAAATCTTTTTCTAGAGTGATTAATCCTGTATATGGGATGCATTTATAGGACATACAGTATAGATCATCTTCCTGGTTTCAATTAATGATGGCAGTCTGCTCTCAAACAAATGTGGAGAAAGTTAAATAAATTGAAGCAATCCCAAATTACTACTATTTCTGCATTTTGTACTCACCCAGAAGACAATGTTGTAGCTGAAGAGCAAATATTTGTACCAACAGCTGACTTCTGCATTAGAATATCGGTAATAGTGCATCTTTTATCACACGGCGTCTGCAGAGAAGAAGAAATAAAAATAAAAAGTGAAAGACAGTTAAGAATAAAAGACTGTTTCCTGCTCTTTCACTCTATTAAGAACAAACTATGGCAACCTGTACCATATACTGTTAAGAAACTTAGAAACGTGTGTTTTCCTCAAACCTTCTAAGTATTTCTTGCTTAATAACCTTTATCTTCTTTAAACATGTTCATGTGGCAACAAGAAGCAGCATCCAAAAAGGAAACTGACTAAACAACCAGCCTAATATCTGCATCAGCAACTTCACATTCATCAACCTCGTCACTCTCTCAAAGCCCTTACATTTACATGGACAGCTACGTGGACTTCTGCAGAAATCTAAACACGCACCAACACCCCATCAAGCAAGATGCTCCAAGTGCCTATACTGCTAAATGCAACAGGCTCTATTAGACTTCTATGTACTTAAATGTTTCTTTACTAAAACAGCACACTGTAACAGGATTTATTTTTAAGAACACAAGCAACATGTGCTCCACAGAGTTCTGCTTTCATGCTTCCTAATGAACACTGGAGAGATAAGGTTGAATTGCAGCTGTTGCTCAGATACTTCAGAGAAATTAGGCTTTTTAGAGCATTGTAAATAACCCACCTCTGCAGACAGGCCACGTACAGAAAAACATAGGGCAAGCTCTCAATGTGAAAGTTAAAGCTGTAAAAACAAAGCATGAACCCACCCACCCAAGTTTCAGAGGACTGACTGCATAACAAGTACTGCCTACGACAGACAGCAAGCAGCAGCTTCAGATTTCAGTCCTCCACGCACTGTTTTCTTCCCATGAGGTGTTTGGGAAGTGATTGCAAGAGAAGCAATTAGGGAATTTTCCCAGCATTTCCTCAGAAACAGATTTCAAGGACTACGTTGACCTGGGCATTCACAAATTAGCTAAAGCTATGAGAAGGGAAACGTACTTCTTCTAGACCACAATCTGTAGTTGGGTGTATAAAAACTCCACTGAAAGGACAGAACTACAGACAGACATTTTCAGCCCAAGAGACTTGAGACAGAGATCTCAAGTAGGTTTCAGTTTTTGTTCTAGAGATCTCCCTGTGCCAGCTTGGCTCCCCCTAAGCAAACTGGGCCACTCCAAGGTCCAGACACATACATGTCCTCACCGGTTCCAATGAGCAAACTGATTTGCAGCCTAACCAAATGGAGACAGTTGGCAGAAATGCAGAAACAGTGCAGAAAATCTAAAGAAAGTATTTACTCCATAGCTTTAGAAAAGAAAGGAAAAATATAGGAAAATCATGTGACTTGGTGCACAAAGTATGATTGAAAGACTTAAAATTTCCGTTTCTTCCAAGCTAATATGAATGGTACGTACAAAAAAAAAAAAGGAATTTTCAGACCTTGGTGACATTTAATAACTAATGTATGCTCAATGCCACGTTGGTCAAAAAAATCATAGATAATGTGCACTGCTACCAGGTGTGCTGCACTGAGCAGAGATACCACAGTGCAGGTTGGTCAGACTGTGCCTTCTGCCATCCAACGAGTTCACCAGCAAGAAGTGAGAGCACACACAGCCAGCATGTGCTGCAGTTCAGGTATGAGACGTTCACAGACTTAAATTCTACGTTTATGACAATAGTTCTGTCTTGAGAAAGATACAGAGCTTCTGTATCAGTATCTTTCATCTTTCCGTAAGATCAAACTGACACCACTGAATCCCAATTCCCACCTCTTTGCTAAATCAGTCAGTCCTCTCATTGTATCAGTGGTGGAGGATGCAAGGAAACAGATGCCTATGTTCCACGTGCTATCACACCCAGTGACTCCAAAAATTCTTCAGGACAGTTAACAGCCACACCTTCAAAAGCCTGCTATCAGTTTTGCTACCCTTAGTAAGATATCAGAGGCACAAATACAGAAGAGGAAGGGCATTTTGTTATCACTGTGTTCTGATACCATTACGTAAAGGACTACTTGATGAAGCCTATTAACCAGAAAGCTTGCTTGAAAGCTACTAGGACAAACTGCGAAAATTGCATATGAAATGGAGTGAATTTAAGTCAAAATGGAAACATAACTCCCTTCAGCAGCTCCTGAAGAGACACTGACTGCATACCATGAACTATTTTGCTGGTTTCGGAGAAACAACAGAGTCAGCAGAAAGATTAAAGGAGCTATTGTGCATTCTTAAAGAAAGAAAAACAGCAAAATTTATCACGCTAGAGTCTGGAAATTCATCACTAACACCTAAACTGGGTATTTCCACAGCACAGAAGTTTAATCTCACTTAGTTTTAACCAAATACTGAAAACAAGTTTTGCCTTCCCAAGTTTACCCTACAACTAGTTTTAATGCTCACACAAACACCACGTCACACCAAGTATGCACAACCATTCTGTTTTAACAATAGAAGTCGTACTTGACAGCGGTATGGGCAGTTACTGGCAACGACTTCTTCAGAAGTAATCCAGGCATTCATGTAAGCTGAGTTTTGCAAGATGTTCAAGACGCAGACGGTTCTGCTTCCTCATGCCCTGCTTCAGCTTTACTAAGCTGACATTTTCAACCCACCCAGTTTCACAGACCACATTTAGAAATCTTACAGTTGCAAGACAAAGTGAAGAAAATGGGTCTGAGTACCAATTTACTGACACGCTTTTCTAAACCTGCAGCTAAAGAAGGAACAAACGTTTCATTTTCCCAGCTTGAACTCATTTGAAGTGCAGACAGCTAAGTCTCTAGCTCCAAGTGGCAATTTACATTTCAACAACCAAGGTTTGTGCAACTGTCCAAGTCAGTTAGGGAGGGAAAAGAACCTAGGGAACAGCAAAGTCAGTATCGCAATATGCTGCAGCAAGACAACAACTGCCAGTACAAACAAGTTGATCTGTCGCAGGCATACCAAGGCCTCATTGCTGTTTGTTTTCCCTCCCCTATGAAAATGAGAATCTTACAAGAGACAGAATCTGCAACTTCAAGCTGCGTGTAGTACTATTAAGATATGTTGCTTTTGCTGCTTCAATTACAAGGGGTGGCTGCAGGTGGCATTCCAGTAGCAAATGCCTCACATATATCATAAAAGCTGGGATTTGCTAGAGAGACCTCAAAAATACAGTCTGAGGCAGAAAGGAAAGCAAACAATTTCAGGAACCAAAACACAGAGTCTGAAGTCCTGCTTTTTGTTGGGTTGCCCTCTCTGACATCAGGAGTTCAAAAGCTTAGCAATTATTAAAATTTCAGCTTCAAAGAAAGTAGCAGTTGGAACAACAGCGTCAGAAGTGTCCCTGCTGATAAGCATGGTAAGTCATGATAAGTCATCATTTTAACCAACAGCTTAACCAAACATTTCTCCCCACTTCCCCATACAGCTGGCAGGATGACCCAGCCAATATTTCCACAGGAGTGCAGCAGGATGGAAAAGTGTTTTAAAGCTTGCAAATGGCAGGAGGGCAGTACTACCAGCACTGGTTCTTCATTGCAAGCAGCTGTCTTACAACAGCACAGGGCTCTGAGACAAATTCTACCTTCTGAAACTCCTGTCTATAGTGAGCATATCTGAACTAGTGCCTCTGCTTACCCCCAGTGCAATCCTTTTGGTTCCTCTCAATGGACCACCAAGTGCCATGTGGAACAGTACAGTCACTACCAAAGCAGGATTCACATTCTGACGTACTAAATCTGATGTGTAGATGCATCTGGCTGTTTTTTCCACAATCCTACAAATAAACAGAGCAAGCATCCCACTCAAAGCTGCACAGCCACGTTTTTCATGTTTGTACTAACAGCAGCCTCGTTTCCTAACATAGGAAGCGTCTGCTATCAGTCTCAAGATCTGCTTTGTCAGTACTTCATGTAATTTACATCACAGGCTACACAACTAGAGTTAGACGGTACTACAAAACACTTGGAAGCCCACAGCAGCATGTAGGCAGCACTGATTAGTAACTTTCTCTACTGTATTTCTTACAAAGCAAGTCACGTCGTCTCAGCTGACAGTCATCACCCACTCACAACAAAACCAATTCCTGAAAATTAAGCAGAGCACAGCTTCTTGGGTAGAAATTATAACATTGCTTAGAGATTTCATGAAAATCTCTATTATAACGTCGCTTACAGATTTCAGAGGAAAACATGTTGTTCAAGAGGCTGCTGCCATTTTGAAAGCATTTCTGCACCTACCAATTTCACTTTTACCTTCCAAACACAACAGCAGTGATACTCAGTCTACAGATAAACTCTCGTGAAAACAGCCATGATTTATTAATCGTACCTGGATATGCAAGGATATCCTCAAAGATAAGATGTCAATCTAGAACTGGAAGAACTGGAACACACAGCTCTGAATCCAAGCCCGCAAACTTATGAACATCAAGCAGCATTGGCGTTGCTAGGAAGACCGAAGCCACACACATTTCACAGTTCACACCAGCATTGCCACTGCAATAAATCCAATCCTCTTGCCCTGTCCCCTCCTAAAATCCACACCCATTCATCAGTATATGGGAACAATCATACACTGAACCATTAAGCAAATACTCAAATCAATCATCCTGCAATCTATTGTGAAACTCGCTAAGAAAGCAGCATTAAGTCTTCCAATTCATCTTGCCAGAGGCATGCTAACAGCAGCAGTGGATGCAGCCACATGGTGGCACGAGGACAAGGCTGGGAGGCCAGAAGCTGTGCCAGCTTCCCCAGGGTGCTCAAGAAAACGTGGTAACACTGTGATGTCTGCCTACACCAGCATCGTAGACAGAATGTTAACATGCTGAAAAGGACAAAGCAAGGGGACGGGGGCAGAACTAAGACCAAAACAAAAATAATAGTAAGCCACTGGCTGATCCCCCCATCAATCATCGGTACAAAGCATTAAGCCCATGTGAAGATGGTGAAGCAAATGAACAGAGACACCAGAACAGAGCACACAGGAGTGAGAAGTTGGCAATACAATAAGAGATACACTAGGGCCTACTGCTTTGTTTGCATCTGCCTACTCAATGCCACTCTGCTATCAGCATC